ATTTTCATCATTTTGTTTACAATAAACTGTAAACAAGTTTTGTAAGCAATATAATGAAAACAAAGTAGTGCAGTTATTGTGTTCAATACAATGAGCGTACACTTATACAATATACAGTATATTGGTCTCACAGGCCACAACATGTTACTAGAAAAAGAAAAAATTTAGATGTGAAAAGAAAGAATAAAGGATAAAAAACGTAAAATAAAAAAATGCGATTTTGCGGAAGTCACTAATGTTGCCGCCACCCGTTCATTTTGGTCAACTTCCCGCCGCTGTGTACTGATCAGAATTTTTTTTTTTGTTTTATTACCTTCACAAAAATATTATCTTTAGTTCTGTAAAAAAAATTATTTTTTTTTTTTCAAAATTTCTTGGCCATTGGGGCACCCGTTCAGATTTTGGCCTTGGACCCTGAAAGGGTTAATCAGCAGTATACACCGTTATACTATATTACATGTTATTACTATACTAATGCATAACCTGTACCTAAATAAACTTACACACTGTGTTTGAGTGCAGGCACATTAAAATCACTAGTGAGACACTAAAAGTGTCTCACTAGTGTTGAAGACACAATAATAATAATAATAATAATTTTAGGTAGTAGGTTGGTAGACAGCAACCACCCAGGGAGGTACTACCGTCCTGCCAAGTGAGTGTAAAACGAAAGCCTGTAATTGTTTTACATGATGGCACGATTGCTGGTGTCCTTTTTTCTGTCTCATAAACATGCAAGATTTCAGGTACATCTTGCTACTTCTACTTACACTTGGGTCACACTACACATACATATACAAGCATATATATACTATACACCCCTCTGGGTTTTCTGCTATTTTCTTTCTAGTTTCTTGTTCTTGTTTATTTTCTCTTATCTCCATGGGGAAGTGGAACAGAATTCTTCTCCGTAAGCCATGCATGTTGTAAGAGGCGACTAAAATGCCGGGGGGCAAGGGGCTAGTAACCCCTTCTCTTGCATAAATTACTAAGTTTAAAAAGAGAAACTTTCATTTTTCTTCTTGGGCCACCCTGCCTTGGTGGGATACGGCCGGTTTGTTGAAAAAAAAAATAATAATAATAATAATCACTCTGGGGTGCTTTAAATGCTGTATATTACATTACTATAGACATTTTCATTAATCCATCTATGACATTTTTTCAAAATTATTTAAGAAACATGCTACATATATAAACATAATGCATATAACCACAGTAGAACAAACTGACATGAATATGAGGTTGTGGTGGCCAGGTAGCTTGTAGTAGTGATGGTAAGAATTATGTTTTCTCTAGTTCAACACCAGAGAAGCTGTGTACAGTACAGTATTACTGGGGTAACTGTAGAAAAAATTCCTTTTGTATGCCTTCACTCATAGCAGCATTCACTCTAAAAATGGTGTTGCAAGAGAATGGGAGTGTTGCTATTGTGTATTCTACTGCACCAACATGAAGACAATTTGTACACAATGTAAGGTGGAAAAACACTTCACAATCACATGCATACTGCGAAGTGAATGAGTACCAACATACAATGGATATTTTTTTTAACAAGTTGGCCGTCTCCCACCGAGGCAGGGTAACCCAAAAAGAAAGGAAATCCCCAAAAAGAAAATACTTTTATCATCATTCAACACTTTCACCTCACTCACACATAATCACTGTCTTTGCAGAGGCACCCAGATACAAGTTTAGAAGCATATATAAAGATATATAACATACCCCTCCAAACTGCCAATATCCCAAACACCTTTCAAGTGCAGGCATTGTACTTCCCATTTCCAGTACTCAAGTCCGGCGTTATAAAAATAATCAGTTTCCCTGAATCCCTTCACTAAATATTACCCTTCTCACGCTCCAACAGCTCATCAGGTCCCAAAAACCATTTGTCTTCATTCACTCCTATCTAACACGCTCACACATGCTTGCTGGAAGTCCAGCTCCTCGCCCACAAAGCCTCCTTTACCCTCTCCCTCCAACTTTTTCGAGGATGACCCCTACCCGCCTTCCTTTCCCTACAGATTTATATGCTCTCCAAGTCATTCTACTTTGATCCATTCTCTCTAAATGGCCAAACCACCTCAACAACCCCTCTTCAGTCCTCTGACTAATACTTTTAGTAACTCCACATCTCCTAATTTCCACACTCCGAATTCTCTGCATAATATTTACACCACACATTGCCCTTAGACAAGACATCTACACTGCCTCCCCACTGCAGCATTTGCAACCCAAACTTCACACCCATATGAGTGTTGGTACCACTATACTTTGGTACATATTCTTCTTTTCCTCCATGGATAACATTTTTTTTGTCTCCACAGATATCTCAATGCACCACTCACCGTTTTTCCTTCATCAATTCTATGGTTAACCTCATCCTTCATAAACCCATCTGCCGACAAGTCAACTCCCAAATATCTGAAAACATTCACTTCTTCCATACTCCCTCTCTCTAAAGTGATATCCAATTTTTCTTTATCTAAATCATTTGATACCTTTATCACCTTACTCTTATCTATGTTCACTTTCAACTTTCTACCTTTACACACCCTCCCAAACTTGTCCACTAACCTTTGCAACTTTTCTTTAGACTCTCCCATAAGCACAGTAACATCAGCAAAAATAACTGTGTCAACTCCCATTCTGTATTTGATTCCCCATAATTTAATTTCACCCTAACATTTATGGAGCCCCCTTTCCCATGTGTTTTATAATAATAATAATAATCTTTATTTCCACAAGTGAACCTGGGTGTTTTGCCTTGAGCTCTGCGTCTCTTGGTTCCGTACTGAAACTTTCCAAGGTTTTGAGTGTTTTAAAATTATTATGTATACTCATAGCATCATTCACTCTAAAAATGGGTAGGTGATTAGGCGATTATCTTGCATATGGCAATTTAAAAATGAAATAATCTATTTTTGTGTTACGATGGCATCTAAGAAAAAATTGTTGCAGGAAATTAAAAGTGCTACACCAGTGAACACTAAAGTTATAAAAAACCTGATCCCTTATGGTTTCCCGGAAAAACTTTTACTGATGGGGACTGAAGAAAATTAGTCCACCCTTTAAACCCTTTTTGACTGCGCGGCCGTAATATACTTTTGAGGTACCGTGTTTACGTAATATACTCATAATTTTGGGGGCTTCAAATGGCAGGAAAAAAAAACTATAGGCCCATTGAGAAAAGGGGTTTTTGGTGGTCATGTGCACCACATAAAAAAAAAATCCGGAGCACGCATGCATAAGAGAAAAAAAAACTCCGCCCGTTTTTTTAATTAAAATGCCGACTTTTTTGGTCTATTTTCGTATAGATTGTGGGTTTTATTCTCGTTTTTATGGTCTCATTTGATAGAAAGGGAAACTTAAATTTTGAAATGGAGGTATTTTGATTAATTTTTATAAAAGAACCCGGAAATGGGCACAAAATAAGGAAAAATTTTATTTTTTCCGAGTTCAAAAATAAACAAATGATGCATTGTCCAATAAATGTCCCAAAAAGCCTTCTAAAAGCAGTATGAAAGGGTTTTATGTAATTTTTACAATTATTTCTATTGCTACTGCATAACAGTAAACTTCTATTTTTTTTTTTTTAAAAAAATTTCAAAATAAAAACAAAATAATATACAGGGGCCGGAGACATATGAGAAAAAAGAAAATCTTTTTTAGGCCCGGAAATTTTGCATTGTTCATTCTGCCTTATTTTGAAATTGTCTATTTTTTAAATTTTTGTGAAATTGCCAAAATTTCAAATTTTTGACCATGTTATTGGGGAGTTGAAATCGGAAATGGGGAGTTTCTTGTCCCTCGATAAAAAAAAATTAAAATTCGAAAAAATAGTTAGGGGGGTTGACTGGAATAACGGGAAATTAGCCGAAAATAGGGCTCAAAGTGGCGAAATTGCCGATTTTTAATATCGCCGAAGTCGCAAAACTTCGCGAGAGCGTAATTCCGTCAGTTTTCCATCAAATTTCGTTTTTTTGGTGTCTTTACAATCGGGAAAAGATTCTCTATCATTTCATAAGAAAAAATTATTTTTTTTTTTTTCGAATATTTTGCGACACCAGGAGCAACTTCAGGATTGGGCCCTTCGACAGTCAAAGGGTTAAGCCATGCCATTATCCAGTCCAAGGCCTAAGAGAGGCTGAGGTGGAGAAGCTGCTGAAAATAAATATGAAGCTAGCAGAGGCTGATTTCATTTCCTTCTGACTTCCTATAATAAATAATACTCACCTCTCACCCTATGTTAAAGCGAAAAATATTTCAAGGTACGTAATGAGTGTACTGTATGCGCATTTTACTTTTTTTAATTTTTTTTAGGTCTAGTTCTATTGTTAACTTTATATATGATAGTGTAAACATATTATCAGGCATGTATAGGCATTTAAAAGTGAAAAAAAAAGCAATTCACTTTACAGCAATTTTTGTTTTATGGCAGCAGCCTGGAACCTAATCTGCCGTATAAGCGAGGCCCTCGTGTATAAACTTCTCTATATATATTACCAATACCTATATATAACCTTTACCTATGCATAAACTTAGTTCATCTATAGGAGAGTCTTGATTAACACATCCCAGTAACACATTTTCAGCAAAACAAGATTGAAATATTTTACGCAAGTTCAGGTTACACAGGAGAAAGTCTAGAACAGCATGTTGTAAATTTAGGAGAAAATGTGCATCAGTCTGCTTTGCATGTTACATCCAGTTAGAATATGCTGTGTGACACTTCCCCTCCACACCACACCAAGCCTACAAGCATTATTTTTAGAGAAAAAGCTAGTATCATCTTTAATATGAATAACCTTCCTTGCCGCCAGCTGAATGTGTCTATAAATTCCCATACCATACTCAGCTGTTTACTTTCATATTCAGCATGATGTATCAAACCCATTTCTTACAATCAGGTATTCAAAGAGTCTGGCAGAATTAAGGAAAGCATACTATCTTATGTAAGCTATATTAAATCATATATACATCACTGACTGCAAGCAACATACCTTAACTTCCTGTTCAAGTTTACTCATATTAGTGTCCAAGCCTGCTGCCACAGAATCATATGCATGCTTCTTGTCATTATAATCCACGGTTAAATCTTGTGCTTTTTGTCTCAGAGGGCGCAGTTCTGAAAAAAATTTAATATGTGTACAAATACTGTAAATGAACATGAGTATCACATATATGCTTTGCCTCATTCTGCATCATCACCACTCCCTATCCCATCTTGCAACCCTCTTTTATTATGGTATTGCACATTACCTCTACCTTTATGGCTATTTATTAGTACATTTACTAATGAGCTGGAAGCAGTAGTATGCTGCTAAGAACAGGAATCTTCAAATCAGGTATAAGATTAGACTTCTCAAGCATGATTGGGAAAGCCTTGATTTAAACTTAAAAGAGCAACAACATAAGACCAACATTTAAAAACAATAAGGAAATATGCAGTGGAAGATCTGTAATAAATCTTTATGGAGATGTATAAAGGCTTTAGTGAAGTAGAAAACTCTGTATAGATAACCATATTTGATTGCTTTGGTGGGATGTAGCTGGTTTGTTGAAAGAAGAACCATATTTGATGCAAAACTAAGTGGTCTGTATATACAACAAAGTAGGTGATTATCTTGCATATGGCAGTTTAAAAATGAAATGATCTGATGAAAGCTAAGTTTGAAACACCTCTAAATAAAAATTCTGTAATAAGGTGTATATATATATAAAAAAAAAAATAGAGCAAGAGTTGCCTTAATTACCTAGTGCCGAAAGTCCCCTGTATTTCTTTAATATGCTTTGTGCTATAAAAAAAATCTGTTGCCAATGGGAGATTGTAAATAAAGTACTACATGCACTTACCTTTGATAAGTGGGGCCAGGCGTGCTTTTCTTTCTGCAATTTTACGATTCAACTCCATAACCATGCCAGACATTTCCTCAAGTGTCTGTCCTTTGCGTTCATCAACTTCAGCTTTCATTGATGAAACCTTCTCCATGGTCTCCTGAGTTTCACGGAAACCTGACACACCCATCTGCGACTCTAGAGCACTCTGAAAGTTAACACAAGGCAATCCTACACACAGGAAATGTTGGCCTACATTGAACTACAACAAATGGTTTTCTATTAAACATTTAAGATTCTGGTCATCTTTCCACTGCTGTCGAGTTTGGGAGACCATACACTCGCACTTGTGTACTGGACACACGTGACTCGCTCATGGATATCACAGAGAAAAATGACTGACACCACTCTGTGAGGAATGTCAGGTCACAATGTCCATCCAACATTTGCTAATAGATTGTCTTGCCTCTCAGGGTGCATGCAGAATCCACACTTCCAACACCTTAGCCATCTCAACACACACTCTCATGAACCTCCTTGTAGAAAGTCCCACCTTTGACACAGACTCCTGGACTTCTCAACTGAAACTAACCTATTGCACCACTTACTTTGATTTCCAGTTAGAATAAACTAGGGGTAAGCCCCCCACCCCCACTAACCCCTAACTTTACACACCTTACCTCACTCATTCTTAACCTTTGCACATTTTTTCACATATCCTCCCCTGCAGTACTGTATGACCCTTACAGCTTTAGTGCTTAATTTGATTATAATTATAATAATAATTCTGTTTTATTTCCTTGGAAGTAAATTTTGGTAAATCTAGTAAAATTAAAATCACTATATAACCATAGACTTACAAGTTGCTCTAACATTTGTGCCTCTTTGGAATGCAGAATTTCTCCAGTTCGACTAAGAACCCCAAATTCAGCTCTCAGTTCACTTAATTCAGCTCGTTTCATTTTGTATGCTGAGCTCTTGCCCCTTAGTTTATTGACATAGCGCTTGAACTCTTCACCTCGGAGGACTTGTTCACCAGAGAACTGTTGAAGTTGATCCTGCTTGTCCTGCAAGAGATGGTAGATGTAATATAGTATTTGTTTCACACCGACAGTCTTTTAAAATAATGAAACATTAAAACACTCTTTATTTGGATGAAATTTGTATTATGTGATATCCCATTACTATGGAACCAGTAATTCTCTCTGTGCAACATAAATATAATCTTACAAAATCAGTGCAGTTCACAAAATGTAACAAGAGTCCTATCATGAAAAGAAGTTCAGTGTTAATGACCTGATTGAGATTGCTACAATTGCTATGGGCTTGGCATTTATCTATCTAGATATATATATCTCATTTCTTTCTTTCAACGCACCAGCCGTATCCCACTGTGGTGGGGTGGCCCAAAAGCAAAAACAAAAGTTTCTTTTTTTAAATTTAGTAATTTATACAGGAGGAGGAGTTACTAGGCCCTTGCTCCCGGCATTTTAGTCACCTCTTACAACACGCATGGCTTGCGGAGGAAGAATTTTGTTCCACTTCCCCATGGAGATACCAGGAAATAAACAAGAACAAGAACTAGAAAGAAAATAGAAGAAAACCCAGAGGGGTGCATATATATATATATGCTTGTACATGTATGTGTAGTGTGACCTAAGTGTAAGTAGAAGTAGCAAGACGTACCTGAAATCTTGCATGTTTAAAAGACAGAAAAAAGACACCAGCAATCCTACCATCATGTAAAACAATTACAGGATTCCGTTTTACACTCACTTGGCAGGACGGTAGTACCTCCCTGGGTGGTTGCTGTCTACCAACCTACTACCTACAATATAGTATATTTCTTTCTTTCAACACACTGGCCGTATCCCACCGAGGTGGGGTGGCCCAAAAGAAAAAACCAATGTTTCTCCTTTTACATTTAGTAATATATATAGGAGAAGGGGTTACTAGCCCCTTGCTCCCGGCATTTTAGTCACCTCTTACAACACGCATGGCTTACGGAGGAAGAATTCTGTTCCACTTCCCCATGGAGGTAAGAGGAAATAAACAAGAACAAGAACTAGAAAGAAAATAGAAGAAAACCCAAAGGGGTGTGTATATATATGCTTGTACATGTATGTGTAGTGTGACCTAAGTAAGTAGAAGTAGCAAGACGTACCTGAAATCTTGCATGTGTATTGGACAAAAAAAAAGACACCAGCAATCCTACCATCATGTAAAACAATTACAGGCTTCAGTTTTACACTCACTAGGCAGGACAGTAGTACCTCCCTGGGCAGTTGCTGTCTATAGTATATTTACTTATACATATTATATATAGTACATGTATATTTATTTATACATATTATAGGTAGTAGGTTGGTAGACAGCAACCACCCAGGGAGGTACTACCGTCCTGCCAAGTGAGTGTAAAACGAAAGCCTGTAATTGTTTTACATGATGGTAAGATTGCTGGCGTCTTTTGTCTGTCTCATAAATATGCAAGATTACAGGTACGTCTTGCTACTTCTACTTACCCTTAGGTCACACTACACATACATGTACAAGCATATATATGTATATATACGCATCCCTCTGGGTTTTCTTCTATTTTCTTTCTAGTTCTTGTTGGGCCACCCTGCCTCGGTGGGATATGGCCGGTTTGTTGAAAGTTGAAGAAAAGATTTCTTCCTATACTTTCTAAGTGAAAATTCATTTTTCTACATTCATAGGATAATGTCATTACAAAGGAACTGGAGGTACTTTATTCTTCCATAGATCAAACCTCATTACCTTCCATTTCCCAAGCACTGTATGACTCCTGTGGGTTTAGCTCTTTCCCATGAATTTAATAATAAATAGACATATTGTAAGAGTGTGAGCAGGGAAATTTTATGAAAGGATTAGGGGAAACCTGTTAGCCAGACTTGAGTCCTGGAGGTGGAAAAGTGCCATAACTCTGAAGGGCAGGAATGTTGCAGTCTGAGGGTAATCTGAACTGTGATGTCAGAACACTTTTGGCAACACAGTGACTGAATGAATGATGGTGATTTTTTTTCCTCTGGGTGACCCCTGCCTTGGTGGGAGAGCTACTTAGGTAAAAAAAAAAAAAAAGAAAAAAAATAATATTTGATTTCTAAATTTAACTAACCCTCATATCCTCTTGAAGGTTTGCTAATTCTCCTCGTAGTTCATTAAGACGTTCAGCAGCTTGTTCTTTCTTTCGGGTGATTATTGCTGCATTTTGCCGAAAAAATGATAACTTTCCAACCTGCCAAAAAGAAAAAGCAAAGAGATGAAAAACTTAAGTAAGCTTGTTTACATACAATTTTAGATGATTACAATTGTCCTATGCAGTAACATATATCTAAAGTAAAGCATAACTTGAAAATACTGAATAAAGTGACTTATTATTGTCCACAATGGTGTGCATTGTTGACTTTACCATTAAAATTATAAACAAAAATATACTCTCATAATTAAACTGCCTACCTTGCTCTCTGGGCTGTCATCTTCTTCCACTTCCTTCATACGAGCTTCATTCAAGTTGTTGATCTCAGCTGTCAGTGCACGAATCTGACAAACATCGGAAAAAATTACATCTCCATACCATATATAAGTTTTTGCACACAATTAATTTACTGCACAAAAGGGTCATTCAGGCTACATTGAGGAATGGAGATCTGCAGAAGGGAGGGAGGTCACAGCTGATGTAGCAAATCAATGTTAGTCAAGAAAGATTACAGTAAAGAGTCTGCATTACAAGTAGGACTCTCAGATAGGGTGGACAGTGAGTATCAGGACACTGAATGTTATATCTGTTGCTAATCTTAGTGTATATCATGCCATGCTCAGCTTTTTTAATTCCTTAGCAATAGTGTGGAATAAATTAGTTAATCACTATACTTAATATAATTCTTCTTTCAACATACCAGCCGTATCCCACCGAGGCGGGGTGGCCCAAAAAGAAAAACGAAAGTTTCTCCTTTTACATTTAGTAATATATACAGGAAAAGGGGTTACTAGCCCCTTGCTCCTGGAATTTCAGTCGCCTCTTACAACACACATGGCTTACGGAGGAAGAATTCTGTTCCACTTCCCCATGGAGATAAGAGGAAATAAACAAGAACAAGAACTAGAAAGAAAATAAAAGAAAACCCAGAGGGATGTGTATATATATGCTTGTACATGTATGTGTAGTGTGACCTAAGTGTAAGTAGAAGTAGCAAGACGTACCTGAAATCTTGCATGTTCACGAGACAGAAAAAACGACACCAGCAATCCTACCATCATGTAAAACAATTACAGGCTTTCGTTTTACACTCACTTGGCAGGACGGTAGCACCTCCCTGGGCGGTTGCTGTCTACCAACCTACTACCTAGGACTCCATATAATTCTTGATATTATATTTTGATTCTCTGTTGCACAGTACTTCTACTTCTTCAAGTTGCATTTGTAGAGATATATTTTGGACTACACATTATATTCTTTTTCCTCTTAACTGCAGTGAAGTGTGAGCAATTCAGCCTTTCCTATGGCCAATTTTATAAAAAAGAAAGTTTAATATTTCTTCTTCCTTGGATTCTATTCCTTCACATCTTCCAAATCTCTAACCGTAAGATACTTGAAAACTTAGTGTTTTATATTCCCAATTAAATAAAATCAGATTTAAATTTTAGACGATGTATGGGGTTTGAACTGGGGTCCTGAGGGAACTGAAACGAGTGCTTTTACATACAAGTCAAATCTGATATTGCTGTAGTGTATATACTAAAAAAAAAAAAAAATGTATACTGTATTTGTATGTTTTTTCTAACTACCTGCATAAGTGAAATACATATGTATAAGATGAGTTATATGCAAGAGTGCGTACCAATGGAGTCATTGCAACATGTGAGCAGCACAGGGACGAACAATGACACCTGATGAACTTTTGCGACACCTAACTGGTCATCTGAGAAAACAACCATAAAATGGAAGTTGCTAGAGGCTGCATTAATTGCCACTGCTGACACAATCCTGCAAAGGTCTGGTAGCTTGTGTGTTTCTAAACTTTTAGCCAAAAGATTATTGCCCATGTTAGAATTGGCTGTTAAGTGAATGAACAAATAAAATATGAATGAGAAGCTGTATACTACAGCAAGCCTACTGGCCCATGCTAGGTAGGTGTTACTCAAATTCATCCAACCCTTCTCACTTGTCCACCTAATTTCTACAACCTGAAGCACCTTGCCTCACCTCACCCTAGCTGCTGGTCATCTGCTTTGTCCACTATATAACATCCTGTTTAGTACTGATAAAGGCACTTATGGTAAAATGTTTCATTTAGGATATGTCCTGGCCTGTACATAAGTGTCCTTATTCACACAGCCATACACAATGGGAATGCCTAGCACATTTGTCTTTGGTTCAATTCCTAGATGAAGTAGAAAATTAGACAAGGATCTGTTACTCTCTTTACCTCTATTTAAGTATGAGTAAAATTCTGAATATACAGTGGAACCCCGAATATCGGCCATAATCCATTCCAGGTCAGCCTAAATTCGAAAAAGCCTAAATTCAAAGCAATATTTCCCATAAGAATTAAACAATCAATCCGTTCCAGACACCCAAAAATAATAAAAAAAATACATTTTGTAAAGTTTAACTATAGTTTTACTTACACAAAACAATGACAATTACATATAAATAAACATCTAAATCATTATTACATACTTGCATTGAAGATTTGTTGGCGATGGAAGACAGGGAGGAGGGGAGAGGGAGGAGGAGAGGTTATTGTTTGGATGGGGAATCCCCCTCCATAATGACTTCAGATATCAAGTCCCTCTCTGGGGTTACTTCCCTTCTTTGTCTTCTAATGTCACTTGGACCAGCTTGAGAGTCACTGGACCCCTGTCGCACAAAAAACTGTCCAGGGAGGTCTGTTTCTGGCACCTCTTTAAAGAATTGCCTGAAGTGGGCCAAGGTTTTGTCACTGAACATGTTGCAGATATGGCTTGTTTCAGCTTGGTCAGGGTGATATTTCTCAGCAAAATCTTGCACCCTACTCCACATTGCACAAATCTCTTAAATCTCTGAAGAAGGCACTTTTGCCAGGATAGAAGTTATTCTTGATTTGTTTTTGCCATACATCCTGGCAAGCTGGAGCACACGCACACCACTCTCATAATTTTTCAATAACTTTTCTTAAATTCCATCGTGTTTCTCACTTTCTTTACCAAAGAAACTTTACTAGGAACTTTCTTTGGGCCCATGGTGGCTTATTTCAGTCATACCTAATAAACAAGCCCAAAAACAAATGGATTTTAAGAAAATGTTTTGATGAATGCGCGGAGTATATGCTCATTCACTGAGAGACAGGGAGACTGACTCACCAACATGCAGCATCCCGGTGGGAGGCTGGCTGACACATCTAATACGGCTGATTTGCGAGGTACCGGCTGAAATATGGAGTAAAATTTCGGCCAAAAAACTGGCCTAAATACAATTCGGCCGATATACACAGCGGCCAATATTCGGGGTTCCACTCTAAATCATCTTGTGAAATGTACATACCATGAAGTCAAACTTTGAGTTTCAAGTTAAAATATAAATATAAATGTAAGACAAATATTTTAAACTGTTAATAAATGAAACAGCTTATATTTACGTATTTAACCCTTTGACTGTCGGAAGCCCCTTTCTGAAACTGTCATTCTATGTTGCAAATTTTTTGGAAAAAAAAAAAATTCTTATGAAATGATAATCTTTTTCCGATGGTAATGACACCAAAAGTACAAAATTTGGTCAAAACTCACGGAATTACGCTCCCGCAAAGTTAGCGGTCTCTGCGACATATATGCATTGGCGGTTTCGCCGAATTTGAGCCCTGTTTTTGGCCAATTCTTGTTCCAGTTGACCAAACTCATAGCTATTTCTTTAAAACTCCATTTTTTCTATCAGTTGAGTACAAGAAACTGCCTATTTACCAATTTGAACTACCCAATAAAGTGGTCAGAAATTGGTAATTTGGCCAATTTCATGCAAATTAAAAAAGATGCCAATTTCAAAATAGGGTCCAGAATAAACAATGTAGACATTCTTGGCACTGAAGTAACATATCCTCTGTTCATTAGTCACATCTCTAGGCCCCTCTTATATTACTATTGCTTTCTATTTTGATTTTTTATTCATACAAAAAATACAAAATTTACTGTTATGCAGACTACTGCATTATTGTAAAAATGGTATAAATAATATCAGTGCACTAGTGAAAAAATATTAAACTCCCCAGTTGATGTGTATTGGACATGTGGTGTGATTTGCTTACTCCTGAACATTGGTAAAAATCAAACATTTCCGCTACTTTGAGCTCAATTTCAAGGTCGTTTTCATCGTGAAACTAATCAAAATCATCTCTATTTCTGTAATATGTTTTCCATTTTTATCACGTGAAACCATGAAAATGAGAATACAACGATAAATACTATACGAAAATACACCTCAAAGTCGGCGTCTTAATCCCAAAGAACGGTCTTTTTTTTTTTCTCTCATTATGCACTGCATGCTGCAGGATTTTTTTTATGTGGTGCACACTGACCACACAGACCCATTCTCTCACATGTGGGCCTACCAGTTTTCTTCTGCTTGATTTGAAGCTGCTAGAATTTATGTGTATTAATACGTCCAAAACACTGGCTCGTAAAACAGTCAAAGGGTTAAATACTGCTGAACTAGAAAAATAGCTTAACATATATGTTAGGCAAACTTTAGTAATGCTACAGATCACTTTATCAGGTGTTTACTCTCTTGACTGTAAATGTCATCACTTGCACATCCACAGATCCATACTTGTCCTAAAGCACTGTTAAACAATAATAACAAATGGCTAATAAAGATATCAAAATTCAAGTAAAACAGTAAAAATAAATAAAGAAAATAGACTATGGTTTAAAGAGCAGTAGAATGAAAGTACATATCTGCTAAAGAAGAAATGCTAGCAAATAAGTGAATACTAAAATTATCTAAGAGCTGTGACTTCCTACAAATAAGTACTACTCACTTCTCACCCTACATTAAGACTACAAATATTTTAAGGTAAGTAATGCATGTACTTTGTGTGTATTTTACTTTTTATTGTGTTTTTAATGCCTAGTTCTATTACTAACTTCATATAAGTTAGTGTAAACTTGTTGTCTGGCATTTATATGCTTTGTAAGTGGAAAAAATGGCGTTCCTTTTTCCGGCGATGGCCTGGAACCTAACCTGCCATATAAGTGAGGCCCTACTGTACCTCTCTTTTTAGGGTTGTGCTTTAGGTCCCTATCCCAGGAGGAAAAAAGATCTTAACACAGAGTAAGAAAGATTCATCCTTGTACAAATAGGCAAACCATTACCTGTTTCTTTACAGTGTCTATTTCCTGTTGTCCCATTGCAGGCTGTGTTGCTACTTGTTGCAGGGTTGACACATGTCGTCGTTTTAATGCAAGCTCCTTAGGTAACTTCTCCTTGACAATATATGTGTTCACATTCACATCTTCCTCCAGCCTCTGTAATAGCCCTGTTGAGAAAAAAAAAATTAAACTGCACTGAGTCTGCAGCACATTTACTCAATTAATTAGCATATATAGCTGGACTTGAGTCCTGGAAATGGGAAGTACAATGCCTGCATTTTAATGGAGGGGTTTGGGATATTGGCTTCTAAACTGTTGTATTCTGAGCACCTCTACAAAAACAGTGATTATGTGTGAGTGAGGTGAAAGCTTTGAATGATGATGAAAGTATTTTCTTTTTGGGGATTTTCTTTCTTTTTGGGTCACCCTGCCTCGGTGGGAGATGGCTGACTTGTTAAAAAAAAAAAAAAAAATGTATGTATAGGACATATATAGGGTTTGCTACTATCCCTGGTTTCAGTATCCTTGGCAGGTCCTTGGAACATATCCCCCATGAATACAGGAGTCCTAGTGTATTCTCAAAACTGTAGCTAATCTGTAACCAAGCAATCTGCAAACACATTTATTGCAACTTCTATGTCTATTCTAAAGAAATAAAAAACAGATTTAATTATATAATTCTTATCCAATTTTTACCAAACATATGTGAGTTTTCAATACATGTATTCAATGAACCTGCACAGAGTATGAATGCATTTGGTAAAAAAAAAAGTGAAACATTTTGATTTAAAATATCGAAATTTCTGTTTGCATATTTACAATGACTGTAACTGCAAATCAGCATCTTTAATCACAAAAGTAATGGGTTCCACAGTACCAATATTTTAAATCAGGGACCTACTGCATTCTGCATTCAGGCTGCATGAACCACTAATAGGAATTCTTTCACCAGCACCCTAAATCATGGAGCAGGAAGTTGAAGACCCTTAGGAGGATACTCAAAGTGCAGGATACTGAAACAGGAAACTCAATCTGTGAAATGGATGATAAACACATTGGTGTGAATGCAAACAGATCTCATACAGGAACTGGGCAAAGCTCTGCATCCTTGCATTCTCAGATGGATTTTGCTTACTCTTGTATCCCTGCTAGCAAGAAAAATGTGAATCACTGCAAGCATATGAATCCACAAAAGACAAGTTTAACATTAAAAGCAACATTTTCATTCATGCCCATACATTAGGAACTTAATCTCTGTGGAGAGCTAACTATGTCAAGATCTAGAGAACCAACTGGATCATGAATGGTTGTCTAGTTATGTTATTCTTCATATTTATACAGAGATATGCCATAAAATACGATAAACACATTTGACCATATCTGACCATGAGTTTATAATCTTGGTCTGGTCATATCAGACTTGGACAGGCTGCCCAAAGGATAAATGTTAGCTTTTCTTTTGCATGGTTGATAAACACCCAAACCCTCTCAAGGACAAGGGATAGTGATCACTATTGTTACCTATTACATGGGAAGTACAGTGCCTGCACTCTGAAGGAGGGATGGGGATGTTGCAGCTCAGAGGGCCATTTGAATTGTAATATCCAGACACTTCTGGCAAGGCAGACACTTCTGGCAAGTTTTTTTTTTTTTTTGTAAGTCACCCCTAACTTGAAGGCAATGGCAGTTGTTAAAAATAAAAAATCATCACCATAAAAACTTACCCTCAGGTGTGGTGCCCATGCCAGCCTTCCGTATATCTTTCAGCTGCGTTTGCAGGCGCAAAGTTCTCTGCTCAGATAGCTGTATAGCAGCTTTTAGATCAGACTCCTGTTGTGCCATTTCCTTCTTTCGTTCTCTCTCTTGTCGAAGAGCACGGGCTGATGCCAGCATTGTTTCACTGTTTGGAGTTCCCTCTATCTGCTCAGCAAATCTTTGTCAAAGTGTGTATCTTTTAAAGCATTACTACTATACATATATTCAGATTAAATATCTTTACAATATCTTATACTGGCACTTTTAACCCACTGGTATGTACTGTATGAATCCACAATTTAATATTTTATAATCTATTACAATAACTACAAGTGGTCTTTATATACCTACACTGACACAGTGTAAAAATACTGTAATTTGATCACAACTATGACAAAATATGTACTGTAGAGTACGATTTATGTAAAACTTAAATAATTTCAATCAATATACTTCTTAGAAACTCTGTACATATTTGATTAAAAATTATACAAATTTTCATAATAAAAATAATTTGAAATGAAGTTGGAATAAAGTTTTTAAAACTGAAATATCAAGAGCATACCTTTTGTTTCATTTTTTCAATCCTCCTGAAAACAAGGTCACGCTCCTCTTCCATTGCCGTGATGTCACGACGAAGTTCAGATGTGGAAAACCCACTAGTTCGTAATGACTCATATTCACGATGAATAATTTTGAACTTATCAATTAGCTCTTCATACTGAAAGTACAGATATAAAACAATTCAGTACATAAATAATAACCAGATATCCAAATATTAATTACATATGTTACTATGGATTGAATAAAGTATAGTATAATATCCTATACACATAACACATACAGTACTGTACTAATTAGTTAAATAAACTGAGCAAAATTAACTAACAAGAGGATGTCAGAATTAAATATGAGGTAATGAAAAAGAGCAGCAGGCACTATAAAGATAAGAAATAGGAAACTTAATTGAAGCAGAGCTATAAAGATAAAATTTTAAAATTATACATAGTAAAAGCATATTTTTTAACTGCCTTGATTAAATAGAAATCAAAGTGTCTTAAAATATTTTTCCATCAAAGTTAAAAATAGTGGTTCTAATTTACACACTTGCCTTTGAATTTTAAAACAATGGCTATCTTGGTGTACCCTAATTGTAGATGTGACCTTCTTGTAACTAGAGTACCATTAATGCTATCAAGGTCTTCAACTGCACTATTTCTTAATGAAGTTGTAACAGACAGTATTACTGAAACTAAAGCCTTCTCATACCAAATTAATAAACCCTCAACAATCTGAATGCAAGACACTGTCCTCAGAAAAGAATGGACCAAGTACTGTAAGTTTTGTTTTATATCATTACAAAACTGCTTTTTTTCATAATTACTATATTCATAAACTGCAACAGACCTATGTCATGCAACATTTTTTTATGAAAAATTATCATGCATAATTCTGTTAGCTGAAGTCATGTTTTTAGTTGTTATACTTGCCACCACTGGTATAACTTCCACTGCTGTTTGCTACAATTTTATGCAGTAATGCCAGCATTCTCTATCCATGTATTGAGTCTTACTGTGATGAGGGTCCAGATATGCTGCTACTCATTTCACATTTTTTACTTACTAACTTTATCAAAACTTTACACAGTATGTGTTACAAACATCACCCCAGTTCCATAACACCAGTGTTCCCCTCCCATAAAATATTGTCCACTCACTATAATGCCCAGTTTGTCACTAAGAACGTGTAGGTTTTTTACTGGATATAAATTTAGTACACAAGACCTAAGATGTTCAACACACATAAATTATGTTCAAGTCTCACTTAAACTAAGCTCATAAAAATTAAATTGCTGCTCTACGTTCTGCTCAGTTTTCCACACAATCACAGATTAATGTGATAAACTGTTTATAGGCTAAATATATATGTATATATTTGTAAAAATTATAAAGGAATAAGTTTACTAAGTATACCAGGAAAAGTATACGGTAGGGTTATAACTGAAAGAATTAGAGGTAAGACAGAATGTAGGATTGCGGATGAGCAGGGAGGCTTCAGAGTGGGTAGGGCATGTGTAGATCAAGTGTTTACATTTAAGCATATATGTGAACAGTATTTAGATAAAGGTAGGGAAGTTTTTATTGCATTTATGGATTTAGAAAAGGCATATGATAGAGTTGATAGAGGAGCAATGTGGCAGATGTTGCAAGTATATGGAATAGGTGGTAAGTTACTAAATGCTGTAAAGAGCTTTTATGAGGATAGTGAGGCTCAGGTTAGGGTGTGTAGAAGAGAGGGAGATTACTTCCCGGTAAAAGTAGGTCTTAGACAGGGATGTGTAAATGTCACCATGGTTGTTTAATATATTTATAGATGGGGTTGTAAAAGAAGTAAATGCTAGGGTGTTCGGGAGAGGGGTGGGATTAAATTATGGGGAATCAAATTCAAAATGGGAATTGACACAGTTACTTTTTGCTGATGATACTGTGCTTATGGGAGATTCTAAAGAAAAATTGCAAAGGTTAGTGGATGAGTTTGAGAATGTGTGTAAAGGTAGAAAGTTGAAAGTGAACATAGAAAAGAGTAAGGTGATGAGGGTATCAAATGATTTAGATAAAGAAAAATTGGATATCAAATTGGGGAGGAGGAGTATGGAAGAAGTGAATGTTTTCAGATAGTACTTGGGAGTTGAGGTGTCGGCGGATGGATTTATGAAGGATGAGGTTAATCATAGAATTGATGAGGGAAAAAAGGTAAGTGGTGCGTTAAGGTATATGTGGAGTCAAAAAAAGGTATCTATGAAGGCAAAGAAGGGAATGTATGAAAGTATAGTAGTACCAACACTCTTATATGGATGTGAAGCTTGGGTGGTAAATGCAGCAGCGAGGAGACGGTTGGAGGCAGTGGAGATGTCCTGTCTAAGGGCAATGTGTGGTGTAAATATTATGCAGAAAATTCGGAGTGTGGAAATTAGGAGAAGGTGTGGAGTTAATAAAAGTATTAGTCAGAGGGCAGAAGAGGGGTTGTTGAGGTGGTTTGGTCATTTAGAGAGAATGGATCAAAGTAGAATGACATGGAAAGCATATAAATCTATAGGGAAGGAAGGAGGGGTAGGGTCGTCCTCAAAAGGGTTGGAAAGAGGGGGTAAAGGAGGTTTTGTGGGCGAGGGGCTTGGACTTCCAGCAAGCGTGCATGAGCGTGTTAGATAGGAGTGAATGGAGACGAATGATACTTGGGACCTGACGATCTGTTGGAGTGTGAGCAGGGTAATATTTAGTGAAGGGATTCAGGGAAACCGGTTATTTTCATATAGTCGGACTTGAGTCCTGCAAATGGGAAGTACAATGCCTGCACTTTAAAGGAGGGGTTTGGGATATTGGCAGTTTGGAGGGATGTGTTGTGTATCTTTATACGTATATGCTTCTAAACTGTTGTATTCTGAGCACCTCTGCAAAAGCAGTGATAATGTGTGAGTGTGGTGAAAGTGTTGAATGATGATGAAAGTATTTTCTTTTTTGGGGATTTTCTTTCTTTTTTGGGTCACCCTGCCTCGGTGGGAGACGGCCGACTTGTTGAAAAAAAAAAAAAAAAAAATATGATACGGCCAGTTTGTTGAAAGAAGAAGAAGAATATATTTTTTCAACACAATGGCTGTTTCCCATGAAGGTAGGGTAACCCGAAAAAGAAGAAACGTAAAGTTTTCTTCTTTTTACAATTAATTAAATTAAATTAAATTGCCGGGAGCCCCTTGCTCCCGGCAATTTAATTACCTCTTACAACAAGCATGGTTTACGGAGGAAGGATTCTTCTTCACTTCCCCATGGAGTAAATATATAATGTACAGAAATTAAAATGTGCAACTGTAGTGCTAGAGGCAAATTATTAAGAAATTTGATTAGAGATTTATATTTTCAAGGATGACATAAGGAGCATACCTTCATGTGAGTGTCAGCTACATCTGCATCCCCAAGCATCTCGGCAGGAACATCCAACTTAACCAAGTATTTGGCTAAATAAGCACGTTTTTTTAGTTCCTCCATTCTCTGCAGAAGCCATGACAGGATAGGATGGATGACATACTTATTTCCAGACACTAGACCCTGGCGGAAATTGCTCCTGAAATTTAATTTGATAATTACAGCATTAAAGCTTTTCATCTATATTCATTAAAAATTCATGTAAATTATGAAAGGCAACCATAATTCAAGTAATCTAGGTGACAGAGTAGTAATACATTGTCCAAGCTAGCTGGATGTATATGAAGGATTAAAACCAGCAAGAGGTACAATCCATGAATCAGTACAACAAGCAGTATAAACTTGGGTTACAATGAGTAACAATACTAAGTTCATTAGAGCTCAGTATTATATTCTTTAATACACAATAAGTAGCTTTCCAACTAGTGGCAAAAATTTATGGTAGGTTACACCAGAAAAATTCCATAAACATAGAATTCTCTTCATTAATCACAAAGTTTAATCAGTAGAGCAATAAGCTGAATACATTTTTTTAATGAAATTTAAAAGCACATAAAAGCTTTGAATCAACAACACTAAGGTGAAACCAAACAATAAAATCTTTTACTATATATCAGACACTCAGACCCTATTGAATATGAGTACCATTATTTTTACTCTCATACAGTTCTTACCTTGCTGTGGACATTCATACTATAAAATACAGTACAGTAGACAGAATATTATTCAAAATTTAACTTCCCACAACATGGAGCAGTCCATCATTGTAACAGGCCTTGAAACTATAGTATCTGTAAATTACTCTATGTATTTTCTCAACTTTAAGTAAATAAATACAGTATTACCCTCAAAAGGTGCCCCAAGTTATACTCTCAACTTACAGCAGAGATAAAGTGCAATAATTTTTTTTGTTTTAAATACTGTATTTAAAAAATAGGAAATACTATAGACGATGTAGTAATGCTTAATTATATCCTATACCCAAACTGCATGAAGTATTTTGTAGTACCATATATTACAGATTTTTTCTTTAAATTACATTAGATTACTCTGATTTACCATAATCTTTGATAATTACTAAATTAGTTAAATATTTTGGGCAGCTTGGGAGGAAGAGATAACTGAGAATACCTTTTACAAAAACTGTCTGAAAGATATTTTTAAGAGACAAAACTATCTACCAAAACAAAGTAAGCACCAATAACCTGCTGAAAGGATAAATCTTTTGTTTTTTAAGTCCCTTAAATGAATATATTATTAGGCCTAAAGTAGATACTGTCATCCTGAATGAGACATGTTACCTGACAATAATAGTGAGTAACCAGTCAGAAACATATCCATACAAGACAAGTGTGAGGCTGGTGCTCTGATCATTGTGACAGCCCTGGTAGGCATACAAAAAAAAGTCTATATAAGAATAGGAAGGCAGAGGGAAGCACAACCAAGTCAAAAAGTAGCAGGAAGGTGCAAGGTACTATTTTAGCAGTAGGACTGATAAGCTAATGATTCCTATAATGCTCATATCTCTCATATCTATTACCTGCTATTACAGTATGCTCTCTTATAAAGCTTTTCTATAGTACAATCTTTTGCAAATGCAGTTGAAAAAGTGCATCCAGAATTAAATAGCACACAATATGAAGGCCTTTTAACATGATAATCAATTTTGGATGTACTTTTCAATCACATACAAAACATTAAACTATATAAGAGAGCTTTATGAAAGGGCTGATTACAGAACTAAGTCCAGAATTTTTTGTTCTTTAAAGTATAGTATTAACAGTCTTTTCTAGATTTAAATCAACATTACTGAGCTCCTTAGATGTAAAAAAAAAAAAATTGTTTTTGGGGCAGCTTTGTCACAATCTATCCATTAATCAATACCCTCTCAAAGCTTCTCAGATTCTAAAATTTTCTTAAGTTTTTATAGCTTGGCACTTTTAACTTAGAGTATTCTAACAGTTCTTGTTACAGAGCAAGTCTTTTACTCATGCTCTCTTACACCTGAAATCTAAGTGAGCTGAACAAGGCTCCATGGCCTCACCTCTATATCTCTGCCACTCTTGTAGGTTAAGTCTTTAACTATTATTGCAAAAAAAAAAGAGGGGAAATCATATTCCATGAATTATCAGTTACTATTGAGTAAAATATCAAAGCTTTCACTGTAATATTAATAAAATTATTTTATTTGTATATCCTCAGATCACGCACCTCACCACTAAATAGCCGAAGAGCAGCACATTAATTCATTACAAAAGTTTTTTTTTTTTTTCTGAAAATCTACAAGCAGAGTGCTTGAATCATAATGCCATCACTTAGACATATCAAACTTGGCAAAAATAATTATAATAATATGCAATATGCATCTATAGATGGGTGCAAAAAATTATGATTTGAAATTAATTGATAAATTTTATGTGATATAGGTATTCTATTAGTTGTATTAATGTTGGCAGAATGAAACATTGCCACAATAAAATGTCACATTAGTTGCACTTGTGTCCTTTTACCTAACATTTTATTAGTTACAAGGATAATGACAGCCTGGGTGACCAAGCAAGCACCAGACAAGCCTGACCCAAGACGGAAGTAGAAAAACTCGAAACTCATCAAAGGTACATCACAGGACACTCCAAGAGAGGGGTGGAGTATATATTTTGTTGGGTCATTTTTAGGCTTTTCTTTACAATATATGGATTAGAACAATAAATGATCTGAAGGACAGCATACAAGATGAGTTTATATCGCTTTAATAAATTTGCTATTGTCTGTGTATCCTTACATGACAGAATATACAAGTATGAAAAGTTCCAATGCAAGATCATATGTTCTGGGTAATGATTTACCCAGAACATATAAAATTTAATAAATAATTTCAAATCACTATGTGGTGGGTCCTGACAATCATGTAATTAGCCAAAAACTTAAATATAAGAAAAATATAAGTGAATAAAATTTTTAGCTCTAAATTCTATTTCTAACAAATTTTCTTGACTTCTTGACATTCACACCTTAATTCATTAAACCTGTTATTAAACCAAGGTTTTGTCATTACTGCTTCCAATTAGTGTAACACAGTTATTTAATTTACTGCAAAAAAATCTGCAGTCATTATTTACTTGCTCCACTGCAAGTACAGTACTCTACCTTGCAAAATTAATCTGGTACTGTGTGCTTGTCTCTTGAAAAGTAAAAAGGATAAGCAAAGTGCCACTCACTCTCTTGTGCTACCATAGACAGTACAGCAGCAGTCAGTATAGACCATAATAGAAGCAGGGCCTCTATGCACCATGCATGCTGGACCTAATATACAGAACACTACAGTTGCTCTGTTGGCATACACAAAATAACCAAGTGCTCTCCTTAATAAAAATAGTAAAATTTGCTGCATTTTATTTAGTATTGAGTGAACTTAAAGTCTAACTACATCTCATACCGTATTAAGTGAACTAAAATTCTAACAAGTCTACATAATGTGTGCAGAGAGGTCTACTAAGAGTTCTTACGGCATAGTTGCAGGATTTCTGCCGATACTGTAAAAGTAAACATATACATAATATATCAATAGAGGTATTCTTACAACTTGACAGTGCAACTCTAAAGACACAGTTACACAAGTTCTGATGATAATGAAAACAGACATGCATATACGTAATAAGTCAATATTACTACATGATATGAGAAAAAATCAAGTGATGGCACACACAGTACTATAATTGCATTACTGTATATATTACAAAATTATTTTCAAATTAAAAAGTACTTTATTGTTATTATCATTGTAAGACTTTGTTGGTGAACCATGTAAGCCAGAGTCGTAATGGATACTGTGCAGTACTTCCTCATGGGCCAGAGACAGTAATAAACTTATGCAAGAGGTAGTAACCATGTAAGTCTATCATGAGGCTGAACTGTGAGGGTAGAAAAACTTTTGAAAGCAGTCATATATAAACCACACATCATGAAATATAATTTGTTATATTGACTGGCATATGTTTCTCCATATTCTATAAAAAAATCTGACATTCTACAACAAATTCTACATCAAGGACTATTTAAATATACTTAGTACTTAAAACTCTTCTAATAATCATCTGAAGAACAATGACACTCAAAGATCCCATCACAAACCTAAAAAAGAAAGCTGATCCAAAATATATTTAGCAAGAATTCAGAGGAAGCATGCAAAAATGTTTTGTGATACATAAATTAACTACAATTGTCCTCTAGTGACTAAAATGCCAGGAGCAATGGGCAAGTAACCCCTTCTCCTGTATACATTACTAAATTTTAAGAGACATTTTTCTTTTCTGTTTAGGTTACCCTGCCTCAGTGAGATACAGCAGATTCGTTGAAAAAAAATTGTCCTGTAGTTATCTATAAAAATGTGAAGGAGAATTTTGAATGAGTTCTTTCAGATATCTTTTAAATATAATATAAAGAATAGTTTGAAGAGTAAGAAACATGATGGTGATTGAAATATTTTGCCTACTGAGTAGGCAAAAAGATACCGAACTGTTGTGCATGTTTCTTACTCTTCAACTTGTCAGTATTATATACTGACAAGAATGGCTTGCTGCAGAAGGAAATAGTTGCCAGGCTCTGAAGGTATCATATTTCTACTGAACAGTTTCCAAATATGATGCAAACAAGCTCATGGTTTAGTGTTGTAAGAAGGACAACTGAAGAAATAATAAATAGGAATGCAAGTTACAGTCAATGATAATTCTATTGGCTAGTTCAGCATCAAGATGTATCATGTGAAGAAAAACAGTAGTCACTACATGAAAAATAAAAAATTCCTAAAACTGGTTCAGTCAACAGTGGGAAGAAAAATGACTGGTTTAATAATGATGAGAAAACAGGTGTAAAAAAGTAAGGATGTAAGTGTGTGAAAGTTTTATGCAATGTTAAAATAATGATTATAATACAGGTGTTGGCACTGAATGGTACAAGTGAACAAGTTAATGAAAACTTATGTTAAAAAATGAGAAGTCAGAATAAGTCTTGCATGCCCAACATTCTACTTAACTCTATATCTTTGCATTTGTGTATTATATTCCTATATAAAATAAATATATTATCTCCCTGTAATTCAAAATATGTAAAACTTACATGTTATCATCTGGAGGCTTATATTTCAGTATTCTTAACATGCCCAGCATCCGCACTGCCATTTGCTCTGGCTCCTCTTCTCGGATATCCAACTTGTTTTTGGGGTCAATTTCAGCAAAGACATCATTTAGTACCTGTAACATCATATTACATTTTTTGACAAATGTGTAGTGTTATTTAATGTAAATTCATTTTCTTTTGTGTGTGTGGGAGTGTGTGTGCATGCAAATTTGAGTGGAAAAATTTTTGCAAGTGTAGTCACAAATGATTACTAGTGACCACAGACACAGCTGTTGTATGGTGGACACATTTAGAGCAAACAAAATGGAAGCAAGAATTAAGAAATATGAGCTATAAATAGATTGAAAAGCTACTTTTGACTCCCATGGAAGAAAATAAAAAATAAAATATAATAACCACTTATGATGTGCTTTCATCAGAGATTATCTATGAGAAAGCTACAAGGACTTTTTTTTGTAGCTAACAACAAGGGAGACATAAGGACACACTATTATAGTACAGTACATCTAATGTGTGTAAATAAATAACAGGAAATATTTCTTCGCAAATACTGATGACAGGAGGTACAGCACAGAAGTGTGTACAAAAACTACCAACTAATGGAAATTTTCAGAAAAATTATGGCACTGTATATAAATATGATGAATTAACACTAGCTCAGGTGTATTCCAGTAACTACAAATTAGTAACCATAAACTAGATTAGCTCAGATGTGTTATTAATGATAAAATTACTCACCTGTAATAGAGGTTCACCACTAAGAGCATCAAAGGTAATCAGGTTGTAGTTACGATTGTATGGCTCCTTGTTGAGCTCAGACACAATAAACTTGATATCCTCACTCATGGTTAGTAGTTATATACAGTACTAGCTGCTGTCACCCGTATTCTATATATCTGACAAGAAGACATAAAATTACAAAAATATAGCACTTATCTGAATTTTAATAAGGATTTACTTTGTAAAATATGTGTAGTGTATGTACTACACTTACTAAATGAAGAATATACAAAATAAGAAATTCATAATTATATCATACACTTGTAATCAGACTCTGATAAATACAATGAGCCTTCTATGGCCTATACATAAGTGAAGGAGAATGCCTAAGCACCACTACCATTGACAGAAAGTTTGTCTCCTTGGAAACACAAAGTCCTCACTGGAGTTCTGTGTCTACCAGCAGCTGACACAAAAACTATTATTCTATAACTGCCCCTGAGGTGAATAATGTTCCTTAGAACACTAAAGCTTAGTAGTATAGCTTAATTCTACTGGAGTCCTGCCAGTCCTTTCACAAGTCTACTCACACCCAGGTACCTAATTAAAACAAACTTTTATTTTCACATGATACAGTACATAGTTTTACATTTGACAGTATCCATGGAAAACCCTTGGTTATGCATAGAATTTTAATGCAGGAAGCAGGTGTATGAAACTTGCTCATATGTCCTTACACCTGCTGTCCATGTTTGCCTAGCAGTAAGTAGGTACATGGGTGCAAGTCAACTGGTGTGTGTTACATCCTGGGGGACAAGATTGAAGGACCCCAAATAGATATAAGACAGACAGTTGTCAATGACACGCTGACTTTCTTCGGTTATCCTGGGTGGCTAACTCTCTGAGTTAAAAATCTGAACAAATCTTATCTATCAGCCCTGGAATGAAACCAAGTTAATTAAGAAAGAGTAGAACAGTCTACCACTGAGATACAAATCACAGCAGCTTGTCTCATGTCTTAGTCACATTGTTAATTCATTTCAATAATTTTTGAAACTCATGCTGTAATATGAAGTGTTAAATCTTATTTTAATTCTGACTTTATTGTCAAATTACCTTACCTATGCAAAACTGCCAATTACTGCATATACAGTACGTTCAATAAACCCTATGATATCTTGGCTGATACAGAGTTAAAACCTTCTACCTTGTAAGTCAGATAATATATATATATATATATATATATTATATATATATATACATTAGCTACAGTATTTTTTATATGTAAGGAAATTGTAGGTTAAGTCATCATAAAACTTCCACAGTGGAGTTACAGGGAATATTATGTAGCATACAGTACAGCTAATATTCTGTATATAGCATAGCGAATAATCTGTATATAGTAAAATGAAGTGAAATAGTTAAAAATACTAGTAAAAAATTACCTGTTTCTTCTTGTATGATAGACTTGTAGTGAGTGAAATATTGTGCACCAGGACTGTTGTCTGAAGAATGTTGTTAGTGATGATGGTACTGGCTGCCATGACAACCACATCACGTCATAAGGGCGTTCAGGGAAAAAAAAAAGACGTCAAAAAATTTATAAACGACTAACATTCATTTGGTGTACTATAGAAGCCTTTATATAAACACTCCTCATGCAAAGCATTTCAAAATATTTCTGGGTGCCAAAAAGGAAATCAAATATGTAAAATATTACAAAAATTATATTTTGGCATATAATACTAGCTTATTGAAAATATTTTGTATATTTTATCTATATAACATTATAATTCCATCATATTATAAAAAAACATAATTAATTATATAATAAATATATATTATTTGCTAAAAAATATAAATTTATACTATTTTATGATATTTTAAGATATCGGTCGTGCCAGAATATGAAAATTATTTGGGATCTTCAAAAGGTAAGTGCTCAACTCTTTTTAAAGAATCATTCGTTAAAAAATGTTTGTTGTGAAACAAAGGCAAAATTCCAATTATATAAAAGGATGATTTGGTCGTAACACATCTAAATAATTTTAGATTTGACAATTTATATAAGCCCGGCACCCGGGGGAATAATTTTTTTCCGAAGAATTGTTTTTCAATATTCATACACAATTTTCCGCGGCAAGTGAGTGTTGTATTAAGCCAACCAAATTTGTAAAATTTACGTTTTTGTCTCTTTGGGCTAAGAGAGGGCGGACCTCCTCATTCCAACCTTCTGCAGTGTATCCTCGTTTTAGATTTTTTCCCATTGGACGTCATATTATCTATATATTTTTTTAAGTTATTTTATGTTATATATTATTATATTGCATTATATATATATAGATCAATTGTGATAGATAAATAATTATAATTGATATTAATGGGTATATAATATTTTTTATGGATATTATTTTATATATTAATTAATTGTTCTTATAATATTATTATATATATCTATATGTATATTATATTATATTAGATATAAAGATGTACAAAATATAAAATAATTATGGGGGAATCAAATTCAAAAATGCTGAATTCACGTTTCCCTTTTGCTGATGATACTGTGTTTTAAAATGGGAATTCTTTTAGAAACATTACAAATTATATGATTTAAGTGTGTAGGCCAGAAAGTTGAATGCATATGGTAAAGTATCAGGTTTCAAAATGATTTCGAAAAGAAAAATTGGATATCAAATTGGGAGGAGTAATTGGAAGAAGTAAATGTTTTTCAGATACTTGGAGTTGACGTGTCGCGATGGATTATATAAAAGGATGAGGTTTAATTCTAGAATTGATGAGGGAAAAAAGGTGAGTGGTGCGTTGAGGTATATGTGGAGTCAAAAACGTTATCTATGGAGGCAAAGAAGGGAATGTATGAAAGTATAGTAGTACCAACACTTTTATATGGGTGTGAAGCTTGGGTGGTAAATGCAGCAGCGAGGAGACGGTTGGAGGCAGTGGAGATGTCCTGTTTAAGGGCAATGTGTGGTGTAAATATTATGCAGAAAATTCGGAGTGTGGAAATTAGGAGAAGGTGTGGAGTTAATAAAAGTATTAGTCAGAGGGCAGAAGAGGGTTGTTGAGGTGGTTTGGTCATTTAGAGAGAATGGATCAAAGTAGAATGACATGGAAAGCATATAAATCTATAGGGGAAGGAAGGCGGGGTAGGGGTCGTCCTCGAAAGGGTTGGAGAGAGGGGTAAAGGAGGTTTTGTGGGTAAGGGGCTTGGACTTCCAGCAAGCGTGCGTGAGCGTGTTAGATAGGAGTGAATGGAGACGAATGGTACTTGGGACCTGACGATCTGTTGAGTGTGAGCAGGGTAATATTTAGTGAAGGGATTCAGGGAAACCGGTATTTTCATATAGTCGGACTTGAGTCCTGGAAATGGGAATACAATGCCTGCACTTTAAAGGAGGGTTTGGGATATTGGCAGTTTGGAGGGATATGTTGTGTATCTTTATATGTGTATGCTTCTAGACTGTTGTATTCTGAGCACCTCTGCAAAAACAGTGATAATGTGCGAGTGTGGTGAAAGTGTTGAATGATGATGAAAGTATTTTCTTTTTGGGGATTTCATTCTTTTTTGGGGCACCCTGCCTCGGTGGGAGACGGCCCGACTTGTTGAAAAAAAAAATATATATATATGTATATATATAATATATATATAATATATAAATATATATATAATATATATATATATATATATAATATATATATATATAAAACTTGTTTTTTGTCTGTAGGGCCTAGCAGGCCCATTACTTAATAATAATAATCTTTATTTCTACAAGTACATATACAGGGTATACAGGCCTGGCTGATATCAATGACATTACATTATAGAAAGCCCCTTGTTATGCACAACATTTCAGGCCAATTTTGTTCCCCGGATGTGACTTGCACCAGTCAACTAACACCAAGATACTTATTTTAATGATAGGTGAACAGGTACAGCAGGTGCGTTAAGGAAACACGTCTTAATGTTTCCACCTGTACCGGGGATCGACCCCCGGACTTCAGCGCGTGAGCTGAGTGCACTAGCAATCGAACTACGGGACACCGGGGCACCCCTTCCAGGGTTGTGTCTGTATGACAACCATGAAGTCACGATAAGGCAGACGTCTACTATAGGATAAGCTCCTTACACCAGCCTTCACCTCGCCATCTGCCTGTTTATATTACAGGACACTAACATGGCTTGGGCACCAACATGACCCTGGTACCATGGTAAGGGCACTAATATGACCCTGGAGACTTGGAATTTACCTGGAGAGGGTTTCGGGGGTCAACGCACCCGCGGCCCGGTCCGAGACCAGGTCTCGTAGTGGATCAGGGTCTGATCAACCAGGCTGTTACTGCTGGCCGCACGTAAACCGACATACGAACCACAGCCTGGCTGATCAGGTATTGATTATAGGTGTTTGTCCAGCACCTTCTTGAAGATAGACAGGGGTCTATTGGCAATCCCCCTTATGTATGCTGGAAAGCAGTTGAACATCTTGGGCCCTGACACTTACTGTGTTGTCTCTTAGTGTACTCGTGGCGCCCCTGCTTTTCACTGGGAGAATGCTGCATCTCCTGCCGATTCTTTTGCTTTCGTAGGGAGTGATTTTCGTGTGTAGGTTTAGTACTAATCTCTCTTGGTATTGGTACATGGCCCTGGCACTATGGTATGGGCATCATCATGACCCTGGCACCATGGTGTGGGTACCAACATGACCCTGGCACCATGGTGTGGGTACCAACATGACCCTGGCACCATGGTGGGGTACCAACATGACCCTGACATGAGGCATAAGACCGACATGGTCGGACACACGGAAGATGGGTACCAACATGACCCTGGCACCATGGTAATGGCATCATCATGACCCTGGCACCATGGTGGTACAACATGACCCTGGCCCATAGGGACCAACATGACCCTGGCACCATGTGCGGGTACCAACATGACCCTGGCACCATGGTATGGACCATTAAAATGGCCCTGGCATAACGGCCTTGGTACAGGTAAGCATCATCATGGGGGGACCCTGGCACCTTAGGTTGTGTGGTACATTAACATTGATCCACTCGCACCATGGTGTGGGTACCAACATGAGAGGCTGGCACAGGTGTGAGGTACCAACATGACCCTCGTGCACCATGTGTTCAGGTAGGGCCGATTAACGAATTCTCCGCCCCTAGCTATCTCTAGATGGACGGGGCCCTTTTGAAGTTACGGGTAAAGCGAAGCGACCATTCCTCCACTTGGGGGGGTCGGTTTGTAACCATTTAAAGTCTAATTAAATACATTCTGGCTATTTAGATTAAATTTAATAGGGAAAGTACATCAAGACAACCAAAACCATTTACCAACAGCCATTATAACTACCTTGGTTAGGTTTATTTATTTTTATTTTATTTTATTTCATTATTTATTTTTGTTTTGATTAATTTTTAAAAATCAATTTTACTCTCCAAACACTTGAACTTTTTAGGTAGGGACCCCTTTGCACTTGCACCATGGCGCAGTCTTGGATGAGCCCCTGAACCCCTTGGACCGCGGGGCCCCCAAATGCGCGGGGCCCTAGGCAAATGCCTAGTTTGCCTATGTGGTAATCCGGCCCTGGGTACGGGCATCATCATGACCCTGGCACCATGGTACGGGCATCAACATGACCCCTGGCACCATGGTATGGGCATCATCATGACCCTGGCACCATGGTGCGGGTACCAACATAACCCTGGCACCATGGTACAGGCATCATCATGACCCTGGCACCATGGTATGGGCATCATCATGACCCTGCACCATGGTACGCACACATGACCCTTGGCACTATGGTACGGGCATCATCATGACCCTGGCACCATGGTGCAGGTACCAACATGACCCTGGCACCATGGTGCGGGTACCAACATGACCCTGGCATCATGGTACGGGCATCATAATGACACTGGCACCATGGTATGGACACCAACATGGACCAGCACCATAACCCGGGCATCAATATAATTGCGCTTTCCTACAGTATACTCGGAGACACCATATTAGGATAGCCGTGACCAATATTAGGTACAATATTAGGTATTTCTAAAGGGAGATCTTAAAGTGGCTGCCTGATTTTTTTTTTTTTTTAATTTTTTCTTCCTCCAACATTTTTTATTTTATTTCGCATTCAATTTCCGAATGCTTGTGCACAGTAACAAGGGCCAGATTCTAGGAACAATCAGCACGTGAAGGTGTCTCATGACCAAAGGTTTTGATCCTATCCCAGTATCCTGGAATGGCTCTAACTTCTAAAACCTTCAGTGACAACTTCACTCAGAAAAGGTGCCTCCTAACTGTATGGTGGCGAAGATTTAGAATTCAAATGTGTTGGTGCAGAGTTGGTCATTTTGTGCAAAATGGTGTGAAACTGACTCCCATTACATTATCATGATCAAAATATATTCATTTACTTCTGAATGGTTTCAGTATTTAATGATTGATGCATCTTATGTCCAGAATGGTACAGTAACCATTCAGTTTAGTTTGTGTGTAGGCAATTTGTTAATGAAATAATTTCTTGTTTTAACTTGGAATTGATGGAATTTTTATAAAATCTGACTACCACACAATTTATTATTATATAATCAAAAAGAAGCGTTAAATCACAAGGGTTATACAGCGGACTACCACACAAAAAAAATCTTTCAGGATTGTAGAGAATTTTAAAATTAATTGCAAAAGGAAAATCGAAAAATATTGAATATTCTTTTTTTTTTAAATATCATGGTTTGAGTTAGCCCTTAATTAAACTGAGCAACGGGATGCCAGAGCCGTCCATGTTACCTGGAGGGTGTTCAGGGGGTCAGTGCCCCCCACTGCCCGGTCCATGACCAGGCATGCTAGCTAGTTTCCTCATACTCTCAAAGGTTTTCGTTTATAACTCAGACTGCTCCAACCAATCAGCTTCAAATTTCAATTATTATTATTATTATCATAAAGAAGAAGCGCTAAACCACAAGGGCTATACAGTGCTGCTCAAATTTCAATCCCCGGTTAACTATTACTAAGGGATTGTTCGTAAGGCAGATGACATGCGCAAGTGCTCTTTGCTCAAGTTTATATAAACCATTCCCGAAATTGATTTCTACGAGGTTAATTTTGACTGGCATCACATTTTTCTATTACCTGGATATTAAAAATTTTAACATCCAGTTTGATTAGAAGACAATGGCAGCTCTCATTTCATGGATCATGAAACCTTTGTCAGCAATGCAACCTCTTTGGAAATGGATATGAGAGTCCTCCAGTGTGCATTGGGCTTCCTATGTTCAAAACTATACTGCAAAAACTTTATATTAATTACTTTGGGGAGCACTAAACCCATAGGGTCAGATAACGCTGTATAAAATTGGAGGTAGTCAATCAGGTTCGCTCCAAACCAAACTTCACATTTATTTTTAAAACAATTTTATGCTATACACTTTTCTTCACATACCACCGGTCACGTAAGTGAATTTTTAATGATGATTATGTACATGGGGAAGCGTAGAACCCACAACGTTAAGTCCACATTTTCTTGATGTCTCTTCACATTCAATACATCTAGTGAAGGATTGTTCAACCTGGGCTCCTTGTACTCCTGGCGGTGTGTAGTTGGTGAAACTAATAAAGGTATCTAGATGTTGCACATGTCTAGTTCATCACTCCTTACGGTGCAGTGAGCCCCATTATTATTATAATCAAAAAGAAGCGCTAAGCCACAAGGGCTATACAGCACAGTGAGCCCCAGAATAGGGTGAAATCCCTAGGATAAAACAGTATTTTATACTATTCTTTGGTAAACTAATATTTTATCCGTTCTACTTAAAAATTACGTCGACAAATTATAGAAAATATCAATATTTTTTGTGCACTTCTGTATAATTTATTAATTACCACTTTGCTTGATTCTACAAATCTACAACAAAATGTGATCTCAATATATTTTGGATGCTAATTCAATCCTTATTTTTGCTATCAAAAATTTTTCGAGATGGGTGCATGAGTTGGGATAAATTTATTTGGGTGATGTACAAGTTAATAGTGAATATATCTAGTGTAAAGTTACAAGTGTAGATATACACTGTGAAACTGTTTATATACTGTTCAATGTTGTGTGTAAAAATAAAAACATTCCTTCAGTAAAATTTTATTTCTCGGTACAAGGATGTGCGTGAGAAACATGTCACTTAAGAACAAGAAATAAGGATTCAACACACTTTTACACACTTAGTATATATATGCAGATATGAGATTTAGAGTGTACTCACACGTCATATATTCCTGAGTGCACTCACACACCATATATTCCTGAATGCACTCTCACGCCATATAATGAGTGGAAAAAACAGTCTTTAAGATGCTTGCCTGCTCCATGGTGTACATATCATTCGAGTAGATACAAAAATGATACGACTCAAATTATGCCTACAATATTAGTACTGTTCCGTTAGGAACTATTTTTTGTTTCCCTTCTACGCTTTTCAACCACTTTAATATTTGAATATTTAATTTTACGCATTTGAATTTTCATTACCAATACTCTTGTAATGCAGAAGTATTTTAACAAGGTTACTATTTACATTTGAGCAATGATTCCTTATTACAAAAGACTATTTTAAGCTAAATATCACAGAAAAAAGGATCAAACGCTAGTTCTTTTATAGTTTAAAGTTGTCCTGGTGGCTAGTTAGGAGACAGCTTGCCGCCACTGTTGCATCTCTTGTGTATATTGCTGAAACAAATAAATGTTATTATTTTAAAATAACATTTCAGTCATAAGTTAGTCTAAGCTGACATGCAAATAATTATAAATATATAATGCTTAATATATAAAAGGTTAATACAAATATATTATTATATTTGCGGTTCGATTCCCGGTACGGGTGGAAACATTAGGGGTGTTTCCTAAGACACCTGCTGTTCTTGTTCACCTAGCAGCAAGTAGGTACCTGGGTGTTAGCCGACTGGTGCAGGTCGCATCCCGATTATTATTATTATTATAATCAAGGGGAAGCGCTAAACCCGGAGGATTATACAGCGCCTGGGGGGGGGGGATGTGGAAGACACTCAGGCTTAATTCGGGGAACTGGAGCACAGATCCAATTCCCTAAATCAAGAGCCCCTCACCAACATCAAGGAACCTTCCTTGAGGGGCTGAGTTGCCCGAAATACTCTAGATAACCAAGGGTTTTCTGTATAGTATGTCACTGATGTCTGCTAGGTCTGTATAAGCTGTATCATGTACTTTTAGAAATAAAGATTTATTATTATTATTATTATTATTATTGTGTGCTCACCGTGCAAGGAGTGGTGGAGACTCGATACTTCGTCATCTAAGCGCAAGACATACAAACAAGTGTTGAGCTTTATATAATATGTACAACAATGAGCGACTTGCTTGGCAAACTGACTCTTTACCATGCTTGTCGGCACCATCTGCCAGTCAGATGAAAAAGTCGTACTAACCAAGTTTAGCGCACAACACAATAAGAGGGTGCGGGCGGGCACGTCCAGCACTGTAGGGAAAGTGATGAGCAAACCGTCGCTTGCTTCCGCTATACTGCCTGTATCATGAGGAAACCCAGATGGTATAACCTGTCAGGGATAATTCTGATTAGAGTAGCTATCGACATAATGGAAAAAAGAAGCAGGCAGTAGGCTTAATGGTTTGTACCAAACAGATTGATAAATTAGAAACATGTGCAATACTTGTCGTTTCTCTGAATCATTTATCTGCACACCAGACAGATTAAATTAACTTACATTCAACAGTACTCATTTATGTATCTAACCTTAAAATTATGATGCATTTCTTTTAAACTTGTATAATTTTGTATATACTTTATTGATTATATGCTGAGTATAATAAAGACCAATGATGTAGTAAGTGACAGTGACATATCCCCCGCGACCCGGTCCACGACCAGGCCTCCCGGTGGATCAGGGCCTGATCAACCAGGCTGTTACTGCTGGCCGCACGTAGTCCAACGTACGAACCACAGCCCGGCTGATCCCGCACTGACTTTAGGTATCTATCCAGCTCTCTTGAAGGCAGCCTGGGGCCTATTGGTAATTCCCCTTATGCTTGGTGGGAGGCTGTTGAACAGTCTTGGGCCCCGGACACTTGTGGTGTTTTCTCTTAGTGTACCAATGGTGCCCCTACTTTTAATTGGGGATATTTTGCATCGCCTGCCCTGACTTTTACTTTCGTAGCGAGTGATTTCTGTGTGCAGATTCTGGACCATCTCTTCCAGGATTCTCCAAGTGTAGATTATGATATATCTCTCTCTCCTGCGTTTCAACGAGTACAAGTCAAGTGCTTCCAAGCGTTCCCAGTAGTTCAGGTGTTTGACAGAACTTATACGTGCAGTAAAGGTTCTCTGTACACTCTCTACATCGGCAATTTCACCTGCTTTGAACGGAGATGTTAATGTACAGCAGTATTCCAGCCTAGAGAGAACAAGTGATTTGAAAAGGATCATCATTGGCTTGGCATCTCTCGTTTTGAACGTTCTCATTATCCATCCTATCATTTTCTTTGCACTTGTGATCGTGGCACTGTTGTGATCCTTGAAAGTGAGATCCTCGGACATTACTACTCCCAGGTCCCTTACATTATTTTTCCGCTCTATTGTATGGCCAGAGTTTGTAGTATACTCTGCTCTAGTTATTAACTCCTCCAGTTTTCCAAAACGGAGTAGTTGGAATTTGTCCTCATTGAACATCATATAGTTTTCCGTTGCCCATATGTTTAGAAAAGTTTCAGTAACAATAAGTAGAGAATAGATACTCATATGTCACAAGGATGGAAAAAGTTGGAATGTGCTGTCTGCAGTGTTACACAAAGAAAGCCACTAGCGTGCGATACATTGGTTGAAAAACTGTGTGTAGATGGGAGAGAAGGGGAGACAAGAACATAAGAAAGAAGGACACTGTAGCAGGCCTACTGGCCCATGCGAGGCAGGTCCAAACCTCCCACTGGCTTAAGCCAATGACCCAACCTAGTCAGGTCAGGTCACATCCACTTAGGGAAGCAGCACGGCATCAGACCTATTACCACAAGCTAGTCAGGTCCAACTCACACCCACTCATGTATTTATCTAACCTATTTTTAAAACTACACAACTTTTAGCTTCTATGACGGTACTCGGGAGTCTGTTTCACTCATCGAGTGGAGGAAACAAGTGTATATGTAATGGAAGGAGTACCCACGATTCTCTACCCCAGTCGAGAACCAGTTTGTGTCTACGAACCTATTTTGGTCTAAGAACCTGTTTGTGTATCTAGAAACCTATTTGAGTCTCCAAGAACCTGTTTGTGTCTAAAACCTGTTAAGTGCCTGAGTGTCCAACTACAAAAAATTATAACAATATATAAAAACCATTGGAAATAATATCAGAGAAAGAGATCAATAAAACACTTTCTCGGCGAAGGTCTGATAAGTGTATATATTAGTATATAGTAGATCGGTATAGGCAAACTTCCACAGTGAAAATATATATATAAAAAAAAGTGAAAATAACATTGCTTACTTGTAGAACACACGAACGAGTTCTGATACTTCAATTTTGTAGAAAAATCATTGACATTTTAGCATATTTGCAGTCCTACATTCTCATGTTTTATCTAGTGATGATGGTACATATATCTTTATATACCATTATGACAATGGAACATTTGCCATGGTGGTATATCTCAGTATATGTACCTGGTGAGGTGGGTGTCTACACGAGCAACAGACTTCCTCTTGCTCAACATCACAGAGAATGTCACCAGAAGAGTTGGTGAGGATGGTGTGAGCCTCGTTGCCCTCCACCGTGCCCAGCATCAAGTCGGGTGGGATACATACTCTCAGACTCTGTGGGAAACAAATGCAAACAAAGTTGACGTATAATCATGGTCACTCGACGTGTGACACCATCCCATGCTTTACCTAGGATTAAACCTGATTATCTCCGATTCCACAAGCGCTGTGTGACATCTACGACTCTACGTGCTTCCCGTGAATAATACTGATCTAGATGTGATCAATTATTATTTTTTTTCATTCAAGAGACAGCGCTGAACCTATAAGGAGCCAGACACCCACCATGAAGGGCTTGTAATAAGATAGAGTAGTGCTCCTCACCACAACACACTTGTGTCTGCATTTAAATCTGCTTTTAATTATATTTCGAAAATAATTCACATTCATTAACATCCATTATCTAAATCAATTACTTGTACGTACACAAGTTGTTAACACTAACCATTTGCATGAATGAGAAGCACGAGTGTGTGGCAACACGGTGCACCACCAGCACGTGTTGGCCGCTCCTGCTGGTGAGATTGAAGGTGACACCTGGACCCCGTGGCACACTGCAGCATATACACTGGGTGTCCATCTCAATAGTAGCACTGTAGAGCAGACTCTTACTGTTGTCCGTGAAGATGTACGAGTCACCTGGTCAAGTAACCACAATAAATTCATCAATATTTTACCGTGATATCAATTTTCACGTACAAGCGCTAAACCCGCATGAGTCATACAGAGCCTGGGAAATGGGAAGTAATCAGGTTTGACTTAAATATTTAAACTACACTATCCTCGACATTTTGTCAAGGATTGCAGATAATGCACCCATAACAACTCGCCAAGACCCGACATCGCCAAAATAAGATATGTACTCCTATCAAATAACTCTATTGACAAACACTTCCCCAAGATCATTAACAACAACTTCAACAAAGCCACCACTGCTTCTACTAGCATCAAAAATATCACCAGACAGAAACACCATGAACGAAACTCAGTTGCTACAAAGGTGTACAACATTCTATGTAGCAACTGTGATAAATGTACGAGACATCCAAAGGTCTCCAAAAACAAATATCCGCAGCCACTTAATAATTTAGATTGGCGTACTACTAACTGAAAAAGAGGGCGACACCCACAGAAGTGCCCTTGAAATTGTTTTGAGGTAGCGAGTCCCGCAGCCTTGTGAAGGGTTTAGCTCTGGTCTCGATCCAAGTCTCGGCCACTTTGATCAAAAATACTATTTTTGCTCATTCTCCCTTACCATATTTATCTTTTCATGACTTAATAAACATCAGTTTGAGGAAAACGTAGTTAGTAAAGATTCCATGCAAATGTATTTGGGGTTGATTTATAAGGCTCGATTTACAATTTACCTATCCAATGGCTGGAGAACAAGTATAGTGATACCAACATTATGTAGATAAAGACATATGCAGAGCTCAAAACATTGATAAAACGTTTCGCCATGAGTGTCTTCTGTCCTCAAGAAGAAGCCACTCGAGGCGAAACGTTTCCTCAATAAATGTCTTGAACTGTGCATGTGTAATGATCTAACGCAGGGGTCCCCAACCTGCGGTTCGCGGGCCGTATGTGGCCATTCTAAAAAGAATGCGGCCCTCACATGAAATTATGAATTCACTTTATTAATGTAGGTTCCACACTGCACAGTGTCAACAAAACCACGCAGCTCTCATCACACATTTGATCCTCAAATGTGACCCACTTGTGTAGGAAGTTGAGGACCACTGAGATTCTAACGAATCCCACTTACCCAGACGAGCGCTGATGTGGACCTGATGCAGGTTGGTAATAAGATCGAGTCCACAGCGTCGCCACTCATAGAGCGTAGTGGGCAGTGTTGGAGCCGCAGACGCAAGCGAACCCGGGTACGACAACACTTGAGGCACCGCTGAAGGGGCCGACGACTCTTGCTGGCGAGGAAGGAAAAATTATTTTCATATTCATGGGAAAAGTGCTAATCCTGTTTGTGGAAAGGGGCACCATCGGGTCTGAAGACCAGGCAGATGCTATAATGTTTAATTACTGTACTAAATTTACTAATAAGATCAAATTTACGTTACATTAACTACAATCAATGAATGAAGGCGCCGCCCTTAATCTGGGGAAGAGGCAGTAAGGAGAGTAGAAATGGAGCCAACAATCGCAGGTACTAACAAACACATAATAATGAAGGCAGGTGGTGGGTGGGTATGGGTGGATGACCACAGGAGCAGCGATGGCGTGTGGTCGCCCCAGGATGGCCTCCTCGTATGATGGTGGCAGGGGTGGTGGTTCGCTCATAGTGCCGCATCCCCCGACTCCCACGATGATGGCCAACTTCCCACCTGTTGTGATGGCGTCCTTCCCTCTCGTCGTGACGGTGATCTCTCCAGCTAAGTGGCACTACGGTGACCTCCGTCTCATAAGTAGGCACTGTTGGTAATCATTCTCCTGTAATATAATTACCGATATTAACACCAGTCCTTCAACATGACACTGTCAAGCCATCGTTCACCTTACACTTTCTGTCATAACACAATTTTTATTTTTTCTACAAAACTGCCTGTTCGTAACATTGCATATTTAAATACGTAATACATCACTTACAACGCTGGAAGTTACTGAGGTTAGACAGATATGAAATACAATTGGGAGAAAAAGTTCTGAATTACATAGTGAAGAATAATTCTTTCATTGTAGCCTACACCAATTTACCTATATCTCATGTGTTTATATTTATATTTACCCATACATTACGTATTTATAACAGTATTCACTGTACCACAAACCAGTCTACCTATATTTCACGTATCTATACTTACAATATTCATTAATCTACCTGTATCTCACGTATCTAAATATATAATATTCACTTAAACAGATGAGTAAGACAAATATGCAACAGTTAAGAATCTTTACTGTCGAAACATTTCTCCTGCTCAGCAGGTTTCTTCAGTCGAATACAGAGGGGACTTAAATATTGGAGATAACAGAAGCATGTTTGACTTAAACACTAGGTGATCAGTCCCTCAGCCCTGAAGAAGAAACAACGAGGTACTCAGCCCCTTAGCCTCCTTTTCAGGGTTGGGGACTGATCCCCCCCCCCACCTCGAAATTACTTCTTTAAAGTGAGGGATTGATAACCTCATATTTACCTCTCAACTGTTTCTGTTGTCGCCAATATTTATGTCGCCTCTGCATTCGACTGAAGCCTGCTGAGCAGGAGAAAAGTTTCAACAAAAAAGATTCCCAACTGTTGCACGTTTGTCTTATTTTCAACTTGTTGGTATTGTATACCATTAATATAATGAAACTGAAGCAAACACTAATCTGCCTGTATCTGAAGTATCTACGTCTACAACATATTTATTGTGGAACACACTATCATTATAACAATGGTATATAATACCGACAAGTAGATGAGTAAAATACATATGTAACAGGTATCTTTATTTACGAAATGGAAATAAGTCGCTCTGTCTGACTTTTTGGGGGTTATCCTAAGTTCTCTACACATATGCTGCTATGTTTGATAATCTATGTAACTGTATTTGTGAATACATGAATAAACTTACTTGGACAGTCGAATAAACAGGGTGCTCGTCGCTCGGTTGGTAACACCCTCAGATCACGTGCTCTAAGGACTAGGGATAGCTCCTCGGTACAGGTGAAACGTTGGGCATGTTTACTTACTACCTTCGTTCACTAGAAATGGAAGGCAATCAGATTCGATCTAAGGGGAAAGTAGCTCAAATTTTTTGAATCAAAAGCCCCTCACCAGCATCACAATATCTCCCTTGAAGGTAAACATGACCAGCGATCACTACCGTCAGATGAGCTCAATGATCCGATGGTCATCACCGTAAGTGAATATAATGTGGCGATCAACACAATCGGGTAATCCAGTGATCACTACTTTCAAGGGGTAAACATGATCCGACTACCACTCCCTTCAGGAGTAAACATGACCCGGTTACCACTCCTTTCAGGGGGTGAGCATGGCCCGACTACCACTCCCTTCAGGGGGTGAACATGACCCGACTACCACTCCCTTCAGGGGGGTGAACATGATCCGGCTACCACTCCCTCCAGAGGGTGAACATGACTCGGCTACCACTCCTTTCAGTGGGTGAACATGACCCGACTACCACTTCCTTCAGGGGGTGAACATGACCCATCTACCACTACCGGCTGAAGCCAGTGAGAAGCAGGCCAGCTACAAGTAACATCAAGGTCGCTACCAACACGCTCAGCACCTACCAACCTAAGAATTACTTTCGCGAACTTGGACAATATATTAATTTAGAACATTATACTCAACGTAGGTCAGGACAATCTTGGAATATGCTATGCCAACATGGAACCCCAACGGAAATTAACACCAATTTTATTTGGCTACACTAGATTAATTTATACATATGTAACTACATGAGACAGTTGTAAAAATCCATACTTGTGTGTATGTACCTGAATAAAGATTTGCATGCTTGACTGATCAAGTATCTATAGAAACCAGAGACTGTCCATAAGTTTGCAACGAAACTGGTGCACGAATATGGGAGGAATGGACGATGAAACGAGATTTAAGGAATTCTAACCACATTAAAAGAAAGGAAGACCCAGGAAAATATATGATCACATGTAAAATACACAGAGGATTAGATATGGATAGGCTGTTTGAGATACGAGAAGCAGCAGCTAGGAAAATGGATGGCCGCTAAGACGATGATGAGCCATAGAAACGATGGGAAGTATTTTCTCATTTTCAGGAGTTTGAGGAACGCGCTAAATGAACTGGTGGTGAAGGTAAACACTATACACAGCTTCAAGAGGAGATATGATCAGTTCTGGAGGCCAGAAATCAGTGAAATCGAATGATACGAGTTAAGAGCCGGGCCAAGAGCTTTAAATCGACACCTGCAAACACAACTAGGCGAGTACAACTTAGTAAGTATAATAGCTAGGTGAGTATCCCAACACTCGTTGCAATTCATGATCCACTCAACTCCGCAACACAACTTACGGAGTTGATTAGCATGTAGAGCGCGTTTACTGCACGCACTCCAGAGAAGAAATATATGCAGGTCAGGTTAAATATTTTGAAACTACTGTTTAGGATTGCTACACTAATTACCTTAACCGCTTAATTATTATTGACAAAGATGTTATAAAATGTGAACTTAATCCAGGATAACTTATGAAAGGTGAAGAGCATTATTCATCGCCCTCATTATTTAGCTTTCATAATGCTTAGCTAAAAACTTACAATAAACGTAAGTAAACGAAGACAAACGTGTCACTAGGGTACGGAAAGATATTTTAATTGTTTGACAAAACTGGATACGACAGCAATGTGATCCAGTTTTGTTAAAGGGAAGGGAATTATTTTATTATTATAATAAAAAAGAAGCGCTAAACCACAAGGGCTATACAGCTAAAGGGAAAGGAAGTAAGAGAGAGTTAGACACGGGGGGGATGGGGGATCTGCATAACATGGGCCGGTAGGCTTGCAACAGAGCCCCTTAATTCATATTCTCTTATTTCCACTAGCGTCCTCACCCCGTGACGCAATCTACACTTCCATGCCTCATTCTGACAGTATGACTGCTTTCTCAGGTTTGACTCTAATCACTGGGGCCCTTGGAAATGACCAACCTCAACCTTACTTCTTCGTGCTGAGGGACATCACCTTTCTACATCCGACTTTGACCTCCCCCTCTGTCTACATGGTAACCTGAGCAGTCGAAACCATCTCTAAATAAAGATTCCAAATTTTTTTACACTTTTATAATTATTGTCATTACTCAATTAATTAAAATTTTATTATTATTAATTACATTAAGGGCTATCATTTTTTTTCTCATACTGGTGACCTTGATACATCGCCTGCGGAACCCATTAAGTAATTTTTTTTTAGTTAAAACAAAATAAGGTCACTAAAAAACAACTTCACTTTAACTTTAAAAACCTCAAAATTAAAACGGTTCACGGTTTTGTGACTTGTTTATTAAAACGTTTTCTCGACAGAATAAAATAATATTTTATTATTTATTAAAATTTAAATATTTAAAGATTTAATATTTTTATTATAATAATATAAATAATTATATAATATATTTAATTATAATTAATATTTAAAAATATTATTTATATATATATATATTTTTAAAAAATAAAAATATAAAAATATATATAAAATATATATATATATATATATATAAATAATATATATATATATATATAAAATATATATATATATATATATATATTATAATTTTTTTTTTCAACAAGTGGGGCCGTCTCCCACCGAGGCAGGGTAAACCCAAAAAAGAAAGAAAATCCCAAAAAGAAAATACTTTCATCATTTCAACACTTTCACCACACTCACACATCATCAGTTTTTGCAGAGGTGCTCAGAATCCCAACATTTTTAGAAGCATATACGTATAAAGATACACAACATATCCCTCCAAACTGCCAAAAACCCCAAACCCCTCCTTTAAAGTGCAGGCATTGTACTTCCCATTTCCAGGACTCAAGTCCGACTAATATGAAAATAACCGGTTTCCCGGGAATCCCTTCACTAAATATTACCTGCCCCACACTCCAACAGATCGTCAGGTCCCAAGTGCCATTCGTCTCCATTCACTCCTAACACGCTCACGCACGCTTCCTGGAAGTCCAAGCCCCTCGCCCGCAAAGCCTCCTTTACCCCCTCTCTCCAACCCTTTCGAGGACGACCCCTACCCCGCCTTCCTTCCCCTATAGATTTATATGCTTTCCATGTCATTCTACTTTGATCCATTCTCTCTAAATGACCAAACCCCCTAAACAACCCCTCTTCGGGCCCCTGACTAATACTTTTATTAACTCCACACTTTTCCTAATTTCCACCTCCGAATTTTCTGCATAAATTTACACCACACATTGCCCTTAGACAGGAAAACTCCACTGCCTCCAACCGTCTCCTCGCTGCTGCATTTACCACCCAAGCTTCACATCCATATAAGAGTTTTGGTACTACTATACTTTCATAATTCCCTTCTTTCCCTCCAATAGATAACGTTTTTTGACTCCACATATACCTCAACGCACCACTCACCTTTTTCCCTCACCCATTCTATGATTAACCTCACCCTTTTCATAAATCCATCCGCCGACACGTCAACTCCCAAGTATCTGAAAACATTCACTTTTTTCCATACTCCTCCTCCCCAATTTGAATCCAATTTTTCTTTATCTAAATCATTTGATACCCTCGTCACCTTACTCTTTCTATGTCACTTTCAACTTTCTACCTTTACACACTTTCCCAAACTCATCCACAAAACCTTTGCAATTTTTCTTTAGAATCTCTCATAACCCACAGTATCATCAGCAAAAAGTAACTGTGTCAATTCTCATTTTGAATTTGATTCCCCATAATTTAATTCCCACCCCCTCCCGAACCCTAGCATTTACTTCTTTTCAATCCACTACAAATATATTAAACAACCATGGGACATTCACATCCCTGCTAAACCTACTTTTACCGGAAACCCTCTCTTAACACACCCTAACCTGAGCCTCCTTTCCCCAAAAAACTCTTTACAGCATTTAGTAACTTACCACCTACCCATATACTTGCAACTCTCCCCATTGCCCCCTTCATATAGCCTTTTTAATCATAAATGCAAATTAAAATTATCTAAATTACTTTACTTATTTAAATTTTCAAAAACCTTATCTACACCCCCTCCCACCAAACCTCCTTTCATCCGCAATTCCTCATTCTTCTTAACCTTAATTCTTTCATTTTAACCCATACCTTTTTCTTATATCTTAAATTATTCCTCTTATTTTTAATTTTTGTCCCCTTCCCTTTATTAAAGGCACTTACATCTCTCCTCGCCCAAACCTAGTACCTTCCCCCTTTTAAAACATTTATTAAACAAAAGTCAACCACTCCAACACTATATATATAATATATATAAATTTATGTTAAAAAAAATATCTTATTTGGTTAAATACAAGTCTTTGTGTGGAAATTTTTTTTTGTGTTGTTTTTTGGGTTTTGTTTTTTGTGTGTTTTGTTTAAATATGAAACAAAATCTAATATTATATTCAGTGGTTACAAAAAAATTTTTCCCAAATAAGGTTACAATTTTTTTGCTTTGGTCAAATTAAATTTAGTTAATAAAAAAATATATAAAATTTTAAAAAATTATAAAAATAATTTAAAATTTATTTTTCTAATTAACAATTAATTAAAATATATAAATATATATTATATATATATTATAATATATATATATATATTTAATATTAATATTATTTTAATATATATGTGTGTTTTTGTTGAAAATAGGTCAATAAGAAACTAATATCAAATATTTAAAATAAAATTAAAAACCAAAGGTTTAAAAAGGGGTTTTGTTTTTTGCATGTTTCGATTTTTTGTCAGTTTAAAAAAAATTTTAAAAAATTTTATTAAAATATAAATTTTTTTTTAAAATATATATAATATAATTATTATTTTCAAATTTTTCCGTCTCCAAAAACCACATTTCCAAATTACCATTTAATTTCCCTTTTTGAGAATTTCCCCCACATGGGCTAAGCCAATTTGGGTGAAACCTGAAGATAAATAACCTGGGGCAAAGAAAGGGGCAATCATTTCGAACCAAAAACTGGGACTTTTAAAGGGGGTTATTTGATTAGCCCCTTTACCCCTTTAACCCTTCTTGCTAGCCTTCTAAGGGTTATATTTGGCCTTTTCTTTAATGGGAATTAATCAAAGACCAATTCCCTTGGTTTTTTACTCAAATTTAAAAACCCCTCCACCTACATATTTACCAATTTTTTTGGGAAACTCATTCAAATACCTTTTTTTAAACTGTTCAAATTTAAAAGGGACACAATAATCTAAGTTTTTTATTTATTTTTTTTATACAAAATCCACTCACCAATTGAAAAATAAAATGAGTTTCCTCATTTTTTTAAATAAAAAGTTTAACCTTCTCCCTTTGTCGCCTCTATTCCCTTTTGGGGAAAAAATTCTCCCTTCCCATGGAATAAGAGGAAAAACAAGAAAATAGAAAAAAACCCCAAGGCCCCAATCTTTTTACATAAACCCTAATTACCAAAATAAAGTAAAAGGGAATCTAAATCCTTTTTTAAAACCCAAAAACATTCACTTTTAAAAAATAAAATTATTTAACCCCCGGAAATACCGCGGGTGGTTTCCAATTCTACTTTTTTTTTAAATGGCCGTAAAATAAACAGGATAATTTTTTTTACAAAATTTTGGTAAACCAATGCCGAACACTTAACTTAAATCAGTTTTAATAAAACCCCACCTTACAAGTACAAAATTTCATTACTATTATTATTAAGGGAAGCGCTAAACCCGTAGGATTATACAGCGCCTGTGGGGGAGGGATGTGGAGGGTATTCAGGCTTAATTTCAGGGAACTGGAGCAAGATCCAATTCCATGGATGAAGAGCCCCTCACTAGTCCAGCTATACAACTTGTACACAAAAGACCACAGATCAGTGCTACTCATATTGATCTGAGGATCCCCAGGACAATGGGTAAAATGTGAGTTTACTCAATATATCAGAGAGCAATATGTCACTACGTTCTCTCTCACACACAGTACAGGAGAGGGTAAGGAAAAACAACCTGGCGATACTGGAGGACAGAAGGGATTGGGGTCATAACGACATAAAATACTGAAAGGAATTGACAAGATGGATAGGGACAGGATGTTACAGAGATGGGACGCAACAAAAATTTGGTCACAACTGGAAGTTGAAAACTCACATGTCATAGGGATGTTAGTTGTCAGGAAGTGGAACAATCTGGAGAGTGATGTAGTGGAGGCAGGATCCATACACAGCTTTAAGAAGAGTTACAATAAAGCTTATGGAACAGGGAGAGTGGGCCTAGTAACGACCAGGGAAGACGCGGGGGCCAGGAGCTATGAATCGACCCCTGCAACTACAAATAGGTGAGTACAAATAGGGGAATATGTACACACACACACACACACACACACGTTCTATGGGATTAAGACTAACAAACATGCATGATTAATATAAGAAAACGCTAAACCAGTAAGGGTCATACAGCACCTCTGGAATGGACGGTAATCTGGTTCGATCCAAGAAATAGGATAGCTCGTTTCTTATATTAAAAGCCCATAAACTGTACCCCCCTTCATTTAAGAGGTAGATTGGGAGTGCCACTTACCCTAAATCAATCCTGTGGTTCAATTTTCAGTATCGTTTACGGTTTACCCTCATTCAGTCTTGTGGTTCAACTTTCCGTGTTACTTACCCTTAATAAATCCTGTGGTTCAAGCTATCATGTCACTGCTTACTCTCTCAATCAATCCTGTGGTGCACCTTTCCGTGTCACTTACCCCCTCAATCAATCCTGTGATTCAACTTTTCGAGGAGCGTGATTGAGGCTCACTAGGCTCTGCTGAGATGTTCATTATAATAAATTTTTTGACCACTATGCTCAATGGAGTACTGTTAACTGTATAATATTTCTGCACGGCCATACGCACGATTAAGCGTACAAGACATAGTTCTGAAGTCACCTGTTATGCACTTTTCTCTTGTATATGACCATAAAATTTTCATTTAATATTTTTTGGTGCAGTTGTGCACTTCGAATTTTGTTGACTAGTGAGGCCATAAGGCCGTTTTAATTATTCCTTCCTGCTGACTTTACAAATCTATAGTGTATTTTCATTGATCGTTATAGGTTTCAACTTAAAACTTATTGTGCACTGGTTTCCAGGGAATATTTATGCCGTTTCATGATTAATATGCACACTCCTACGATCTTGGCAGCGTCAATGCCACAAGTACACTGAAGTCGACCCCGTGGACACAACCTTCCCGTGCCACCCATCATCTGCATTTAGTAACTACGGCCACAACTCTTGCTTTTACCCGAGAAATACCGCTCTTATTGCTGCCAGAGTATAGCGCTCTCCTGCCCCCGTCCCGTGACGTCGGCACGCTATGTTTACGTCGCTAAGTTACCAAAAGAATTCCGTGAAAGGCTTCAGTAAATTTATGAATGGAATTTATCATTAGATGACAAAATATATTGTTCAGTCAAAATGCTCTTTATTAAAACTTCTATTTTATATATGTGGATACTTCTGAATGATTAATTAATGCCCTATATAATATATATATATATATATATATATATATATATATATATATATATATATATATATATATATATATATATATATGTCGTGCCGAATATGTAAAACTGGTCAATTAGCAAGAACTCATTTAAAATTAAGTCCTTTCTAAAATTTTCTCTTATGCGTTTAAAGATATATTTTTTTCATTAATGTTAATGTAAAAGTTTATAATTTTGCACCAAAAGAATCTTAGAAAACTTACCTAACCTTATTATAACAAGAACAATTTATTTTAGCCTAACCCAACTAAATATATTTTAGATTTGTTTACAATAATTTAATACTAAACAAACACAGTGAAATATATTTTTTTCGTTAGGTTCAGAATGATTTTCGCGAAATTTTTGCATACACAAATTTTCGCTTGTCTATATAGCAAGATGAGCGTTGCTATTTAAGCCAAGATCGCAAGTTATGCCTATTCGGCACGACATATATATATATATATATATATATATTTTTTCAACAAGTCGGTCGTCTCCCACCGAATGTATCATTATATACATAACAGTAAATGAACATAGATAATTATTATTTATCAGTTAGACAAGTAGGAATTTGGGACACCTAGGTCGCAAAAAATGTCCCCCTTCGATACCTACCACTGTCATATCCACAAGTTGCTCTGGACTTATTAATTAAATGAAATATACATCACCAGGAATGCTGGTAAATATATAAATTTGTGGACTGTATATTAAAATTAAAAACGGATTATAGTATATACACACATTTATATAACAGGAGAATATATCTTAATCATAACACTCACCAATTTGACTGGAGATTAAGTTGTATCATACTCAGAAAACCTCACAGTCTATACATGAAAATAACAACTGGCCAGAGTTATAACATAACAGACTTATCTGAGGTTCCTGGAGCTGTCTTGTCCAGTCGCCTGATATCTCAAGTTATGCAGGAATGCACATCCAACAATTTCGCCTCCTATTTGAGAGGTGTCAGCCCAATTTTAACCTCTAGAGCACGAAAAATTCTTCCCATTACACTAACGTTGTATCCAATTCAAACAAAATGGCGACTGACCTCTTTTTAAAAATACACTTTTATTAAATACAATATAGGGCATCTATTTACCTATAAATTACCGTATTTCCGGAAAATATACAGTATTTTCCACAATATATATATATATAATATATATATATATATATATATATATATATATATATATATATATTTTGAGGAACTTTTAAATGTTAAGGAAGAAACAGAGGCAGTAATTTCATGCACTGGTCAGGGAGGTATACCATCTTTTAGGAGTGAAGAAGAGCAGAATGTAAGTGTGGGGGAGGTACGTGAGGCATTACGTAAAATGAAAGGGGGTAAAGCAGCTGGTACTGATGGGATCATGACAGAAATGTTAAAAGCAGGGGGGATATAGTGTTGGAGTGGTTGGTACTTTTGTTCAATAAATGTATGAAAGAGGGGAAGGTACCTAGGGATTGGCGGAGAGCATGTATAGTCCCTTTATATAAAGGGAAAGGGGACAAAAGAGACTGTAAAAATTATAGAGGAATAAGCTTACTGAGTTTTACCAGGAAAAGTGTACGGTAGGGTTATAATTGAAAGAATTAGAGGTAAGACAGAATGTAGGATTGCGGATGAGCAAGGAGGTTTCAGAGTGGGTAGGGGATGTGTAGATCAAGTGTTTACATTGAAGCATATATGTGAACAGTATTTAGATAAAGGTAGGGAAGTTTTTATTGCATTTATGGATTTAGAAAAGGCATATGATAGAGTGGATAGAGGAGCAATGTGGCAGATGTTGCAAGTATATGGAATAGGTGGTAAGTTATTAAATGCTGTAAAGAGTTTTTATGAAGATAGTGAGGCTCAGGTTAGGGTGTGTAGAAGAGAGGGAGACTATTTCCCGGTAAAAGTAGGTCTTAGACAGGGATGTGTAATGTCACCATGGTTGTTTAATATATTTATAGATGGGGTTGTTAAGGAAGTAAATGCTAGGGTGTTTGGGAGAGGGGTGGGATTAAATTATGGGGAATCAAATTCAAAATGGGAATTGACACAGTTACTTTTTGCTGATGATACTGTGCTTATGGGAGATTCTAAAGAAAAATTGCAAAGGTTAGTGGATGAGTTTGGGAATGTGTGTAAAGGTAGAAAGTTGAAAGTGAACATAGAAAAGAGTAAGGTGATGAGGGTGTCAAATGATTTAGATAAAGAAAAATTGGATATCAAATTGGGGAGGAGGAGTATGGAAGAAGTGAATGTTTTCAGATACTTGGGAGTTGACGTGTCGGCGGATGGATTTATGAAGGATGAGGTTAATCATAGAATTGATGAGGGAAAAAAGGTGAGTGGTGCGTTGAGGTATATGTGGAGTCAAAAAACGTTATCTATGGAGGCAAAGAAGGGAATGTATGAAAGTATAGTAGTACCAACACTCTTATATGGGTGTGAAGCTTGGGTGGTAAATGCAGCAGCGAGGAGACGGTTGGAGGCAGTGGAGATGTCCTGTTTAAGGGCAATGTGTGGTGTAAATATTATGCAGAAAATTCGGAGTGTGGAAATTAGGAGAAGGTGTGGAGTTAATAAAAGTATTAGTCAGAGGGCAGAAGAGGGGTTGTTGAGGTGGTTTGGTCATTTAGAGAGAATGGATCAAAGTAGAATGACATGGAAAGCATATAAATCTATAGGGGAAGGAAGGCGGGGTAGGGGTCGTCCTCGAAAGGGTTGGAGAGAGGGGGTAAAGGAGGTTTTGTGGGTAAGGGGCTTGGACTTCCAGCAAGCGTGCATGAGCGTGTTAGATAGGAGTGAATGGAGACGAATGGTACTTGGGACCTGACGATCTGTTGGAGTGTGAGCAGGTAATATATAGTGAAGGGATTCAGGGAAACCGTTATTTTCATATAGTCGGACTTGAGTCCTGGAAATGGGAAGTACAATGCCTGCACTTTAAAGGAGGGGTTTGGGATATTGGCAGTTTGGAGGGATATGTGTTGTATCTTTATATGTGTATGCTTCTAGACTGTTGTATTCTGAGCACCTCTGCAAAAACAGTGATAATGTGCGAGTGTGGTGAAAGTGTTGAATGATGATGAAAGTATTTTCTTTTTGGGGATTTTCTTTCTTTTTTGGGTCACCCTGCCTCGGTGGGAGACGGCCGACTTGTTGAAAAAAAAAAAAAAAAAAAAATATATATATATATATACAGGGCATTAATCATTTAGAAGTATCCACATATATAAAATAAAAGTTTTAATAAAAAACATTTTGACTGAACAATATATTTTGTCATCTAATGATAAATTCCATTCATAAATATATTTTACTGCTAATTCTAAGAGCAAGACAAGTATTAAGCTTAAACGAAAGAGCCAATTGAATTAGTATTATTATTATATTTATTATTATTAGAGAAAATCGTTAAACACGTTTCGTCCCTCGTGGCAAAACGTTTCCTAAATAAATGTCGAACTGTACATGTCTTAGACCACAAGACAACAAATGGGACCATCTTACAAGAAACTTACCAATTCGTCATTGTTTACAGGTTTGTGTGTTGTAAGTGGTGTCCACTGATCAGTGATTATTTACGTATTAACAAAGTTTTCCAGTGGTTGAATGTAGCAACGATCCCTGCTTAATTAACCTAGCCTGGGTGCGCGACTTTAGTGTCATAATGCAAAGTTATTTTCAAGATAAAACTAAAAGTTTTGCATTATAAGATTTTAAAATCATTACTTTTGTTCCTTCCGAGAACTGAAGAAATACAGCAAGACATAGAATGTTATATAATATACATCAGCCTCCATCGGTCTAAATTCGGTCTCACTCATACTACTACCGTAGAACAAAAATATTATAAGTCATGGAAAGCGGTAAACCCAAGAGGGTATAAAAAATGGCTCAAGTGTTCAATACAAAAAAAAAAGGAACCAGGCTCAATCCCAGACAGGAAAAATACAAAATGAGACTACAAGAAACTGAGGTGATACAATGAAGGGGTGTAATGAATAAGAATGAGCACAAACACTGGTAGATTAGTTAACAATATTGTCATGGGAACTGGAAGATCATCAAGACAAACAGATTAACATCTGAAAGACCCTTATAGGTCAATAAGCCAGACACTGGAAGATCAATAAGTCAGACACTGGAAGATCAATAAGTCAGACACTGGAAGATCAATAAGTCAAGACACTGTTAGATTAGCTAATATCCGAGACAGTAAAATAAGTCTAAAAAACATGAAGGTTATGAAGACAAATGTTAATATAGAATCTGTATCCATATATTTTCAAACATTCAATATTACTTGATTATAATAAAAATATGAAAAGTGAAAAAAATACTTTTGTACTTTCGGGCCTCAGTAAAGATCCTTCCCTCTGTATGTGGAGTAATAAAGAACTTGACATGAGGCTTCACAAAAAAAAATCAATGTTTGCCTCATGTGTGCCACGAGGTTTGTAATTTTCACTGGTCATGAGAGACAAGTTCAGGTACAATACAAGCCAGTGATCCTCTGAGCCTAACAATCATTAACTCTCTGAACCTAACAACCATTACCTCTCTGTACCTAATAACTTTTAATCCTCTGAACCTTACAATCACCCCCAACACTACTCACGTCAATATTGCTCACCTCAACACCCTACTCGACATAATACTCACTACCTCAGAAGCCTACTTACCACTCCTACTCATCATCTACCCTACAAATGTAGTTACTAATACCATGTTTAGTTGTTGGGTGGGTAACTACGGTTGGTTGCAAGGTCTTAAAAAAGGTATCATGAGCGATTTGAGTGGTGCCTTGGGCGGCCTTGATGTCCTGGGAGACGTTATGGTGGGAGGCAGGGGTTGGAGGCGAGGTTCTTAGGTCGAGAATGCCGCTCATGCGTCGTCTGAAGGTGTAGAAGGCGAGACAGTAGGTGAGGGCGAAGGCTAGAGCAATACCGGCCAGCACCCTGAAGGTGGCTCTGTCTCCCAGCACCTCCCGCACCTCAGAACCTATCAATGTGCCCAGCAACTTGCCTGCAATATAGACATACGGGCAAAGGTGCTCTCAAAATAAACTTAACAGTAAATACAAAAACATACGATGATAATTTGTGTTTTCCAAGATTATTATTATATTGACATGGAAACACTAGACCCACAAGCATCATACAGCGCCTGGGAAATGTCAAACTTGGTAACAAACACAGATCATTATGTGAGGACATTTATGAGACTGTGAAGACATTCTCAATAAATGTCTCGATAATCGTATTTTTACGCATGGGGAATAGTAGGTAATCAGGAATAATATGAAGCGAAAGATACAAAGAATAACAAAATGAATGAGATACAAAGTCGATTAGTCAAACGCACAGTAACATAAAGAGTGGATTATTTATGAAGTGACCTCGACAGCAACTCACCGACGCCGAAGTATACGACGGCAAAGATGCCGCGGGAGGAGGCGATGATGTCCATTGGGAAGAGGAGAGTGCAGTACATTATGGCGGCGGTGAAGAGTAGACCGTTGGCCACCGACTCCAGCGCCTCCAGCGGCAGCACCCACCACGGGTCCACCAGCATGCTAAGACCTACACACACACATCATACCACCTTAACTTACATATTATTACAGCTATTGATAATGCAAGAGCATTATTAATAGTAATAATATGACTTTCTTATCACTGGCAAGTATTTGCTATGATTGTCAATGATATGAAATTCATATGTGGATATACAGTAACCGGGATAGTTGATTTGTATATTTCGATCTGACATCCTCAGACCGAGAATCTTTAAATTTAAAATTTAAGACCTGGGAACTCACAATACTGAAGAAATTACTGCATGAGAACTCACCAACCAGCCTAACAGCATAGGCAGACAAGCCGAACATGATGAGTGGAGCATGACCAATATGCCTGACCAGGTGTGACGTGAGGAGAGTGAGTAGTAGCTCGAAGGGCGCTCCTACCGTCACTGTGAGACTGACCAGCATGCTGCTAGCACCCAGGTTCACTAGGTACCGGTACATGAACGTCTCCAGGTACCCAATCAGTACACCTGTCAACATCAACCTGATATATCACTTCCCACCGTAGCAAACATTACCTACCATCTTGTAATGTCTGCCATCCTGTAATGCCTGCCATCCTGTAATGCCTGCCATCCTGTAATGCCTGCCATCCTGTAATGCCTGCCATCCTGTAATGCCTGCCATTCTGTAATACCTACCATTCGCTATCCAACAATAATTATAATCTTGTTTAAGCGCTAAATCACAAGGAACAATGCGAGGCAGTCGAGTTTGATCTGAGGAAGGGGATAATAGCTCCAGTTCCTTGGAGTAAGAACCTTTCACCATTGTAGCATTCGCTACAACGGTGTACACAGTATTCAGAATATTCAGTGTAAAGTGTATTATTACTATTATTATTGGTTGTTATTGTAGCAAGAAGGCAAATCAAATAATTACCAATAACTTGAGATAAATTATTATTATATTAAGAAAATGCAAAACTCGTGTGGGTTTTGCCCTCATGGGCGCACCTGCGGCCAACATGGCGGAGAAGAGCAGGATAACTTCAACATTGAGCAGGTACCTGAAGATCTCCCTCGTCAGGGACTGCGTCGGCAGCTTGAAGTTCATCGTTAGCAGCAGCATGAGGCCTGCCGACACGACATGCAACCCCGCAGACATCCAGAAGATCATTCTGCGAGAATGTTAAATCATTATTCAACACGGAAACCAGTACTGCCAGTCTTTCTCCTAGCATTTCCACATACAGATGTGATACCTGCAAATAATGTCTTGAGTGTTAGAGTGGAACTTTATTAACCACTTGACACAGTGGAGAATTGCAAGTTTAGTAATCAAGGAACCAGACACCCTCAAACATAAATGCACCCGTCATCCATAGTGTAGGCGGTAGTCCAAAGATTAGAGGCACGTTTATATCTGGTTACAATCGTAATGAGTTATTTATGTAGACATGAATTAGGACACAAGAAATACAAAAAACATTACTATATATTTTAGCAAGGTATGCTTGTAAAAAATTTTTTAAATGGTAATGCGTAATTTACAGGGGGCAAAGTCAAGGTATGCCTGGAAGATGCTGAAATTTGCCCGAAATGCCTCGGCATGACAGTGGCTTTCTTTGTACCAATCAAATTATGAAATGTAAACACACATTGTAACTTTAGCAAGGAAATAACATTTTATTTATTATTTTTTTATTATCTTTGTATACAGAAATACAAACAAGGGCACCTTCACCGTCTGTGAGATACTAGCACAGATCCTCTTAACACTACACAACTCGGCCATCACTTGAAACCATCGCACACCAGGTTATTTCTACTGGCTCAACCTCCACTACTATTATTACTACCTTCAAGAAAGTCCCGCCCTCCAAACACCTCACCTGTAAATATCCCTCATAGATAAACTGTGTCCGTGTACAGCACTGTATTAGCTCCTTTATTAGTGTCCATATAACACACGAGAAGTATTCAGATTTGATTCGAGGAAGGAGCTCCAATTCCTTAAATCAAAAGTCTTTCACTAGCATGAAGAAACCTTTCCTTTTGGGCACTATGCAATCATAGGCATGCGTGTTTTGAAAGCAAGAGACAAATGTGTTTGTTTAATATCTCAGAGCGAGTCAAATCTCTCTCTCTCTCTCTCTCTCGCATACATGTATGTGTATATGTATGAGAGAGAGAGAGAGAGAGAGAGAGAGAGAGAGAGAGAGAGGGGGGGGAATTAGTGGGCGGACACAACTTACTTGAAGCCACTAGTGATGTCAACGAGGTAGCCACCCAGGAGAGAGCCGACTATGACAGCCATTGTGCCCCAGGCCCTCTGGTAGCCATAGTTGATACCTCGCTCCTGCACGTGAGCCATCACTGCCCCCTCGTATAATGTGTAACCCACTGACTGGAACATTCTGTAGGAGAACTGACAGTGTACCCCACTTACTGGAACATCCTGTAGGAAATTGACTATACCCCACTGACTGGAACATCCTGTAGAAGAAATGACAGTGTATTTCGCTGATTAGAACAGTGGGAGAACTGGCAGTGTACCCAATTGACTGGAACATAACGAGAAGGCAGGCAGATGGATTTTCAACTCTATAAAAAAAGAACACAAATAGTAGTAGTAGTTAACAGCAAAATCCAGCATTAGCCAAGAAACAGCTCAGTACCCCAAGGCACGGTCCTGGAACCTCTGTTTCTTATCCTTATAGTGACATAGATAAAAACAATCGCCACAGATTTGTATCAGCAGTTGCTGATGACACCAAAAATAAGCATGAAAGCCACATCAGTAGAAGACAAAAAAATGCAGGAAGGTATAAGCAAAGTTTTCCAGTGGGCAGCGGAGAACAACACGCTCAATGGTGATAAGTTCCAGCTGCTTAGATATTGAAAGGATGAGCAACACAACTAGGATACTGTATACAAAACCCAAGAGAATCATCAAATAGAACGACAGGAACACGTGAAAGACCTGGGATTAATTATGTCGGCTGACCTTACTTTTAAAGAACAATAATCCAAATGTCACGACAGCCAGGAAAACGATGGGGGGACAGAGAAGAGGGGTAGAGGAAATAATGAGAACTTTCAAAACATGGGAAATAGCTCCAATGGTGAGACTATTCAAATTGTTGCATTTCATCCTGTGGAAGAAGTGACAGTGCATCCCACTGACTGAAAAATCTTGTGGGAGAATTGACTGTGCACCCCACTGACTAAAAAATCTTGTGGGAGAACTGAAAGTGCACCCCACTGACTGAAAGATCTTGTGGGAGAACTGACAGTGCACCCCACTGACTGAAAGATCTTGTGGGAGAACTGACAGTGCACCCCACTGACTGAAAGATCTTGTGAGAGAACTGACAGTGCACCCCACTGACTGAAAGATCTTGTGGGAGAACTGACAGTGCACCCCACTGACTGAAAGATCTTGTGAGAGAACTGACAGTGCACCCCACTGACTGAAAGATCTTGTGGGAGAACTGACAGTGCACCCCACTGACTGAAAGATCTTGTGAGAGAACTGACAGTGCACCCCACTGACTGAAAGATCTTGTGGGAGAACTGACAGTGCACCCACTGACTGAAAGATCTTGTGGGAGAACTGACAGTGCACCCCACTGACTGAAAGATCTTGTGAGAGAACTGACAGTGCACCCCACTGACTGAAAGATCTTGTGGGAGAACTGACAGTGCACCCCACTGACTGAAAGATCTTGTGGGAGAACTGACAGTGCACCCCACTGACTGAAAGATCTTGTGAGAGAACTGACAGTGCACCCCACTGACTGAAAGATCTTGTGGGAGAACTGACAGTGCACCCCACTGACTGAAAGATCTTGTGAGAGAACTGACAGTGCACCCCACTGACTGAAAGATCTTGTGGGAGAACTGACAGTGCACCCACTGACTGAAAGATCTTGTGGGAGAACTGACAGTGCACCCCACTGACTGAAAGATCTTGTGAGAGAACTGACAGTGCACCCCACTGACTGAAAGATCTTGTGGGAGAACTGACAGTGCACCCCACTGACTGAAAGATCTTGTGGGAGAACTGACAGTGCACCCCACTGACTGAAAGATCTTGGTGGGAGAACTGACAGTGCACCCCACTGACTGAAAGATCTTGTGAGAGAACTGACAGTGCACCCCACTGACTGAAAGATCTTGTGGGAGAACTGACAGTGCACCCCACTGACTGAAAGATCTTGTGGGAGAACTGACAGTGCACCCCACTGACTGAAAGATCTTGTGAGAGAACTGACAGTGCACCCCACTGACTGAAAGATCTTGTGGGAGAACTGACAGTGCACCCCACTGACTGAAAGATCTTGTGGGAGAACTGACAGTGCACCCCACTGACTGAAAGATCTTGTGAGAGAACTGACAGTGCACCCCACTGACTGAAAGATCTTGTGGGAGAACTGACAGTGCACCCCACTGACTGAAAGATCTTGTGGGAGAACTGACAGTGCACCCCACTGACTGAAAGATCTTGTGGGAGAACTGACAGTGCACCCCACTGACTGAAAGATCTTGTGGGAGAACTGACAGTGCACCCCACTGACTGAAAGATCTTGTGAGAGAACTGACAGTGCACCCCACTGACTGAAAGATCTTGTGAGAGAACTGACAGTGCACCCCACTGACTGAAAGATCTTGTGAGAGAACTGACAGTGCACCCCACTGACTGAAAGATCTTGTGGGAGAACTGACAGTGCACCCCACTGACTGAAAGATCTTGTGAGAGAACTGACAGTGCACCCCACTGACTGAAAGATCTTGTGGGGAGAACTGACAGTGCACCCCACTGACTGAAAGATCTTGTGAGAGAACTGACAGTGCACCCCACTGACTGAAAGATCTTGTGAGAGAACTGACAGTGCACCCCACTGACTGAAAGATCTTGTAGGAGGAGCGAGTGTACGACACAGACTTGAATTAAGACCTACTGATAGGAACACCAGTTGACTGTCACGTCCTCCATCACAAACAACTGCATATACCAGACTAAAGCGATGCTTTTTTGAAGAAGCTCATCCTGCATGCTCAAAAAAAGTGAACACTAAAAATAAACACCGTGCAAGAGAACACAGCTGAACATGCGTGGAGAAAAATCCTAAAGACAAGAGTATAGTTCGACCCCTGAGGCCATCTTCAAGTGAAAACCAGAACTTACCTACGTCCAAACCGTTATTTCTACTTGAGCATTAAACTTGTAGGGGTTATACAGTGCCTGGGGAACGGGAAGTAATCAGGTCTGATCCAAGGGAACCATAGCTCCAATATCTCGGATCAAGAGCCTTTCACCAGGAATTACACAGTAATTCAAAACATACGGGAGCTCTCATCCCAATTTCTTAGATCAAACGTGAACGCCTCCCACTCCCCGGATGCTGTACGACCCTTACAGGTTTAGCGCTTCCCCACGAATAATAATAATCTGGGATATATTAACTTGAGACAATTGATTAATTGGCATAATTTATGAACAGATAATTTATTGAGAATTTCTTAACCGAGATAATTTATTAACTTAAATAATTTAACTGACAAAATGCCCAGAGATAGAGAGAGAGAGAGAGAGAGAGAGAGAGAGAGAGAGAGAGAGAGAGAGAGAGAGAGAGAGAGAGAGAGAGAGAGAGAGAGAGAGAGAGAGAGAGAGAGAGAGAGAGAGACTTACCCAAACAGAAGTCTCACAACCAGATAACTCCAGAAGGTCACAGTCAACTTTTCTGGGTCGACCTTAACCGTTGTGACCCTCCCGTTAAGGAGGTCGCTGTCGTTGATCTTCCCGTTAATGAGGTTGGTCGTCTCGTAAGTGAGATTGCTACCATTGGTTATCCCATTAGTGAGGTCCCTTCCGTTGATCATCCCGTTAACGAGGCTGTTGTTGGTCGTCCCGTTGGCGAGGTAGTAAACAGTAGTCGTGTTGGCGCTGGGCACAACGGTGAAAAGAAATGCTCCTAGACCCGCCCCCGCTGTTGCTATACTCATCAATACCTGTTGAAAACAGTACTGTTGTTAATTAACACCTGAGGATAAGCAGCACTGTTGTCAATCATCTGCTGGTAAACAGTACTGTTAACCACTGAGGATAAACTGCCATTAAAATTACCAACAGTATCACAGTGTTTTCAACTAGTCAGGGGGAACAATTTTAAACGGCCTGATCATACTCTTGGCAGTTTTAGATATCTCGCATTATTGTTTACGGGGAAGACCTAAACCCGTAGGGGGTCACAGAGCGCCCGGAGAATGGAAGATGATTTGGTTTAATCCGAGGAAGAGGAGAAACATCACCTCGAATCCAGGCTTTCTGACACGGCGACCAGTCTGAAGGACTGTTAACTTGCGCATGGGTCACTGTCAGAAAAAAACGTGAGCTGTTGGACTGAAAAATAATTGCAAAAAAACACGAAGATTGAGTGATATAAATGTGATTTCAACATCTAGGATACTACCAAAGAGACGATACTTGTTGCCAGCCAGCTCTCTCCACGAGTTACCAGGTTACGAACTGCCGACTGTGAGAACAATTAAATAAATCTGAAGGTCAAGGTTGGTTTGATAACTTTATTGTGCACTCCACAGCCATCCTGTGGTCGGTGGTCTGAGGTATTGGTTTTGTCTACAAGGCGGTGCATCTGCGTTTATATATATATATATATATATATATTATATATATATATATATTATATATATATATATATATATATATATATATATATATATATATATATATATATATATTTTTTTTTTCAACAAGTCGGTCGTCTCCCACCGAGGCAGGGTGACCCAAAAAAAAAGAAAGAAAATCCCCAAAAAGAAAATACTTTCATCATTCAACACTTTCACCACACTCACACATTATCACTGCTTTTGCAGAGGTGCTCAGAATATAACAGTTTAGAAGCATATACGTATAGAGATACACAACATATCCCTCCAAACTGCCAATATCCCAAACCCCTCCTTTAAAGTGCAGGCATTGTACTTCCCATTTCCAGGACTCAAGTCCGACTATATGAAAATAACCGGTTTCCCTGAATCCCTTCACTAAATATTACCCTGCTCACACTCCAACAGATCGTCAGGTCCCAAGTATCATTCGTCTCCATTCACTCCTATCTAACACGCTCATGCACGCTTGCTGGAAGTCCAAGCCCCTCACCCACAAAACCTCCTTTACCCCCTCTTTCCAACCCTTTCGAGGACGACCCCTACCCCTCTTTCCTTCCCCTATAGATTTATATGCTTTCCATGTCATTCTACTTTGATCCATTCTCTCTAAATGACCAAACCACCTCAACAACCCCTCTTCTGCCCTCTGACTAATGCTTTTATTAACTCCACACCTTCTCCTAATTTCCACACTCCGAATTTTCTGCATAATATTTACACCACACATTGCCCTTAGACAGGACATCTCCATTGCCTCCAACCGTCTCCTCGCTGCTGCATTTACCACCCAAGCTTCACATCCATATAAGAGTGTTGGTACTACTATACTTTCATACATTCCCTTCTTTGCCTCCATAGATAACGTTTTTTGACTCCACATATACCTCAACGCACCACTCACCTTTTTTCCCTCATCAATTCTATGATTAACCTCATCCTTCATAAATCCATCCGCCGACACGTCAACTCCCAAGTATCTGAAAACATTCACTTCTTCCATACTCCTCCTCCCCAATTTGATATCCAATTTTTCTTTATCTAAATCATTTGATACCCTCATCACCTTACTCTTTTCTATGTTCACTTTCAACTTTCTACCTTTACACACATTCTCAAACTCATCCACTAACCTTTGCAATTTTTCTTTAGAATCTCCCATAAGCACAGTATCATCAGCAAAAAGTAACTGTGTCAATTCCCATTCTGAATTTGATTCCCCATAATTTAATCCCACCCCTCTCCCGAACACCCTAGCATTTACTTCTTTTACAACTCCATCTATAAATATATTAAACAACCATGGTGACATTACACATCCCTGCCTAAGACCTACTTTTACCGGGAAGTATTCTCCCTCTCTTCTACACACCCTAACCTGAGCCTCACTATCCTCTTTAAAGCTCTTTACAGCATTTAGTAACTTACCACCTATTCCATATACTTGCAACCTCTCCCACATTGCTCCTCTATCCACAATCATATGCCTTTTCTAAATCCATAAATGCAATAAAAACTTCCCTCCTTTATCTAAATACTGTTCACATATATGCTTCAATGTAAACACTTGATCTAACTTTCCTACCCACTCTGAAACCTCCTGCTCGCCCCGCAATTTCATTCTGTCTTACCTCAAATTCTTTCAATTATAACCTACCGTATACTTTTCCTGGTATACTCAGTAAACTTATTCCTTTTAAAATTTTTAAACAATCTCTTTTGTCCCCTTTCCCTTTATATAAAGGGACTATATATAAATATATATATTATATATATATATATATATATATATATATTATATAAAATTATATATATATATATATATATATATGAAGTACTTGATGAAGTCTAGTCCTGGACGAGGCGCTGTAGAAGCAATAATATAGTGTCCTCTCCAGTTTTCCCGAAATGCTCCACATGTTAGTGGCTTTTTGTGCTAGTGACTTTTTGTATTCTGTAGAAAGAAAAAGTTTGTCTGTTTTGTTTGAAAAATCTTGAGGAAAGTTTGGAAGTTTTCTACAAGTGCAAGTTCGGATGAGTTTGTCTGAAAACGTTAACACCAATGTAGCCAGTTTTTTTTTTTTCATTAACTCGACCTCTGATGCTTGGAATATCAAGTTCATTATCATGTTTTGTATTTTATTAGTATGTGGCCATTCTACGATGATCTTCACTCCTTCTAGCAGTCTCTGTGCGAGCTTCAGTTGTTCAGCAGATTCAGATTTGGTGGTATGACATGGTGCACCGTCCTGCATAAAAACCGCAGCCCCACATTCGTCAAGTGCCTCATGTAAATTGTCACACAATAACTCCAGGTAATTATACTGGTTCATATACTGGTTTTTGGGAAGCACAATGAGTTCACCAACACTATGAGCACTGAAACACCCCCAAACCATGAGCAAGTCTGGGTGTTTGGCGGTCCCACAGGTGTAGCGTCCCCCACAGTTGCAGGTGACGGTGAAGGTTGCTTCATCACTCCGAAGTACTTCACACCACTGTTGAGGATTCCAGTGAAGATATTTCTTTGCATAATCCAGCCTACGTTTCTTCTGTGGCTTGGAGAGGATCGGTTTCTTAACCTGGCGGTGACTACTGTAGCCCAGTTCTGACACACGTCTGTTAACAGTTCTTACAGACACCTCTGAGAAGATGTGGGTTCTTTTCTTTCAATTCTCTAGCAGTTATCTTAGGTGTACCCTCTAACTTCTTTAACACAGTTAAGGTACGAACAAATGTCTTCTTCGAGGGGCCAGGCCGAGGTTTGGCAGATGGTAACTCGACACCGCCATCAGCCTTGAAATGCTGCACCCAATTCCACCCCTCAAGGAAGGTTCCTTGATGGTGAGGGGCTCTTGATTTAGGGAATTGGATCTGTGCTCCAGTTCCCCAAATTAAGCCTGAATGCCTTCCACATCCCCCCCAGGCGCTGTATAATCCTCCGGGTTTAGCGCTTCCCCTTTGATTATAATAATAATGCACCCAGTTCCTCACTGAACGCTCACACACCAACATTCTCCACTATTTCTTTCATCTGGTGCCCAGCTTTGTGAAGCCCTATGATTTGAGCTATAGTTTCAGGTGTTAAAGACCATCATCAAACATGTATAGCCCCAAAATTAAAGGGAACACCGGACAAAAGATGGGGCGAATGAGAGACAAAAGTGCAACACTTCCTCTCACCACAGCAGCCAAGTGAGCACTGAGGAGTCACTGTGGAGTGTGTGTGGCAGCAGGCCGTGATGTCATGCTACCGGGCATAATGCACTGGCGAAAAAAGACCCCCCTTTATGGTAAGCCTTTAATTTTCGTCACGGCATTATGCCGGGGCGTTCACCCGGCATAATGCCGTGACTAACACTGTAGAATAAAGTAGCAGCACATTGCTGATGAATTCAATTCTGCGGAATGAAAAACAAGTCATTGGTTGCTGTCTGGCACGTGAGTGAAGCGCCTGACCTTGTAATTGCCGAGTTTATCGCCGGTGAAGCCAGCGAGGATTGGTACCAGCATGGTGAGCAGAGACATGGCAGAGCTGCAGATCCCCGTCTGGTAAGTGGTCAGTCCCAGCTGCTGCTGATGCAGGGTCAACTGTGGCCACAGCATCACTACACCTGCAATACAATTATTATTTAAAACCGCTAAATCTCTAGTGCTTATATAGCTCCCGAGAAATGGGAAGTAATGAAATTCAATCTGAGGAATGGGAAGGTAGCTCCGATTCTTTGAATCAAGAACTCTTCACTAGCCTCAAGACACCTTTCTTGATGAGAGGGAATACCTGAAATAGTTATCATGTAGGGGTCGAATATACTTAATACCGTGAACTGTTAGTGAATAAGACATGCAGCACTTGGATATATTTATTGTCGAAACGTTACGATTGTACAACAAGCTTCTTCAAACAAATACCAGAGAACACAATCCTGGAGTCAGTAGTAGTTTTGACGTGATCAGCCCGTCACCCTTGGTAGGTGGTAGTCAGTCCCTGTACGGCAATAAAGATACCCAAGTGTTGTATAAGTATCTTATTCATCAGCTTTTCGGTATTAATATATTATCAGTAACAATTATGATACAGTGAACTGTATCACTCAGACACTGCTGGGTCACCCCACCTTGGTGGGCAACGAGTGATTTCGAGAAAAAGATACTTGCCTGCTAGCAGTGTGAAGTAGATACTCTTGATGATCAAGAGTTTAAGATCTACGAGATCGGAGAGGAAGTCATGTAGGACGGCAGTGGCGGTGGCGATCATGCTGGCTGGGGATACGAATATAAAACAAGTTCTCAGGTCTTCTCTTACTTTTCTTAAATCTGACTTATTTCTGCTACTTTTTACTTTTTTTGCACAGATTTATTCATATGTCTCTTATCCTCTTTGATAATCGTCGGTAGAACAAACTGAAACAAAATGTTAAACACATATTAAGGAGAATCAAGTTGTAATGAACCTTTGTCCACACGAAGGTAAAAATCACACAGTCAGAAACACAAAGATGAGAGAAGATCTACATATTTCGCCTTCTCAGACCCTCTTTAGCACATCTCTTGATGTGACGAGTGTGGAATGCAGAACTAGGCCCATACGTTATAATGTGTATCTTTAATGGTTTTCTCCTAACTTATTATGTGTTAATACACGATAGCCCTTAATCTAGGTTGAAGTAGATAATTATCATAGTTCTCAGCAGAGAGAGAGAGAGAGAGAGAGAGAGAGAGAGAGAGAGAGAGAGAGAGAGAGAGAGAGAGAGAGAGAGAGAGAGAGAGAGAGAGACAGACAGACAGACAGACAGAGAGCGTCTATTGCAGTAGTTCCCAAACTTTTTCAGCTTGTTACCCAATTTAACATGCCACATAAAGCATGTTACCCCTTTCACAAAATGTTGTTATTATTGATATATATGGATAAACGTGAACGTATACAGCCTCGCATACTCTGCTAATCCTAGCAAAACCATTGAAAACGTAAGAACCACACATACATTATATATAAAATTAATAATAGCTACAAATTCACAGTAACAGTGGGTAAATACTAACTATATACTGCACAGGGCAGTACACATACATACCAGTTTATGTCTACCTCGGCTGATGCTCACAGATAAACTGACAGTGTGAAATAGAGGCAGCCTCAGGAAGTGAGTGACGCGTACTGGACAGGTCGATTGGGCTACTGAGTGACTTTTGTCCTGAAGCATACTTGTCAAAATACTTTTGTGTTTCCACACACTTAGCTATATATTTCTTCTTTTCTAATTGGTGTCACGCCCCTTGTGCAGATATCCAAGAACTAGCTACAAGCAGTATTAAAACAGGGAAGTGTTTTTGGGTATGCCCAAATGAGATAAATCTGTGGACTAAAATCACAAGGGTATTAAAAGAGGTCAACATCAAAGCTGCTTTCATAGAAAACCTGGAAGCTTTCTACAACAGATGGGAACATAAAAAGTCCGGGCTGAATGGTACTGCCCTTGATACTGGCCATGTAGTCAGAAACTGTAAGGCTGGAGATGATGTCCTGGTAGTCAGTAAATGGGGGGCTGATAGTGCTGTCCTGGGAGACAGTAATGGGGAAGCTGGAGGTGCTGTCCTGGGAGACAGTAATGGTGAAGCTGGAGGTGCTGTCCTGGGAGACAGTAATGGTGAAGCTGGAGATGCTGCCCTGGGAGACAGTAATGGTGAAGCTGGAGATTTTGTCCAGGTAGTCGGGAATTATACGCAGGAAGGAATACATATGAATGACCGCATAGGGGACAGGGGCCATAGTAGGGAAACAAGTGTAGTCAAAGATAAGATAAAACCAATATTGCAAACTAGAAATACCGCAGGAAATAGCAAACAAGAGGACTCCACTAGCAATAGTGAGGATATATTACCAAAAACAAATGGTGGGAGCTCCATTGTTGGTGCTAGGGAAGATAGAAGTAAGACAGGGAAACATGCACCAACAGGGAATACAGTCACAGAAACCCAAGGCAAACGGAAACCAAGCCTGTGCACATACTATGCACTCGGTATCTGCTGGCATGGGAAATCTGGAAAAACAGATGGGACGTGCAACTATGACCACCCTAGGAAATGCCATGCCCATATGAAAACAGGAAAATGCAAACTCCCTTCCTGTAAGCTTTTTCACCCTAAACTGTGTACCTCTTCAGTACAGGAAAGACTGTGCTATAACTTAAATTGCCAGGCATACCATCTAAAGGGGACAAAAAGATACAAAACATCCAGGCCATGGGAAAACCTGGGTAGCCACAGCCACTCAAGAGGGAGAGGTTTTTTAGTGCCAGGAAGGAAAAAAAACTGGCAGGAAATGGCAGAAATCGTACACCAAATCCAGTCATTCCTGGAGTGGAACCACAGTCGATGGCCTCCACTCCAAACCAACAGATACAGATACTAATGCCGGAAAAAAAATCCCCCCCAGTACCAACAATACCACCAGTCCGATAACATTCTTCTTTGCAAATATACAGGGTCTAAAGCCAGCAACAAACAACAAAATACCTTTCATCCGTGGACTGCTTGCAGAGGCAAAGGCAATGTTCGCGGCTTTCACTGAGACCCACATAAGGATCACTTGGACACGAAATATGGATCCCAGGTTACAACTATACAGATGTGACAGAGGTGAACAGGCAAAAGGGGGGGTTGGCCTGTACATTGCAGAGTCACTTGTTTGCACAGAAACTGCTAAATGCCTCAAATGATGTAGTGGAAGTTTTAGCAGTAAAGGTCGAGAACCAAAACCTAGTCATTGTGATAGTCTACAAGCCTCCGGATGCAACATCCCAGCAATTCCAGGAACAGCTGTTAAAAATTGACACTGTCTGGAAAAAACCTTCCAGCTCCTGCACCCAACATCTTGCTCCTGGGGGATTTCAACTTAAGGCACCTAAAATGGAGGAATTTAGCAAATAATATTGTTGCAGTAATAACACCAGGAGGCAGCTCTGATGAAAACTCACACTCACGCGAGCTTTTAAATCTCTGCACAAAATTCAATTTAAACCAGCAAAATAATAGAGCCTACTAGACTGGAGAATACACTAGACCTCATCTTCACTAACAATGATGATCATGATAAGAAATATCACCATATCAAAAACAATATACTCAGATCACAACATAATTGAGGTTCAGTCATGTATGCGCGGAGCCCCAGGACGACATAATGAGATTAGTCACGAGGAGCATTCACCAAATTCAACTTCAATAACAAAAACATAAAGTGGGACCAAGTAAACCAAGTCCTAACCGATTATAAGCTGGGAAGATATACTAAGCAACACAGACCCCAACTTATGCCTAGAACAGATTAATCGGTAGCACTCGATGTATGCACAAGGCTTATTCCTCTAAGAAAAAGGAGGAGTAGATGTAAAACAGAAAGAGACAGGCGCTCCTTTACAGGCGACGGAAAAGAATAACAGAGCGGCTAAAGAGGTCAATATATCTGAAATGCGTAGGGAGACACTGGTCAGAGAAATAGCAAGCATCGAACTTAAGCTAAAAGAATCCTTTAGGAGTCAGGAATCGCGGGAAGAACTAAAAGCCATAAATGAAATCGAAAGAAACCCAAAGTATTTCTTTCCTATGCCAAATCAAAATCGAGAACAACGTCCAGTATTGGGCCCTACTTAAACAGATGGGTCCTACACAGATGACAACAAGGAAATGAGTGAGCTACTCAAGTCCCAATATGACTCAGTTTTTAGCAAGCCGCTAACCAGACTGAGAGTCGAAGATCAAAATGAATTTTTTATGAGAGAGCCACAAAATTTGATTAACACAAGCCTATCCGATGTTATCCTGACGCCAAATGACTTCGAACAGGCGATAAATGACATGCCATGCACTCTGCCCAGGGCCAGACTCATGGAACTCTGTGTTCATCAAGAACTGCAAGAAGCCCCTATCACGAGCCTTTTCCATCCTATGGAGAGGGAGCTGGACACGGGGGTCGTCCCACAGTTACTAAAAACAACAGACATAGCCCCACTCCACAAAGGGGCCAGTAAAGCAACAGCAAAGAACTACAGACCAATAGCACTAACATCCCATATCATAAAAATCTTTGAAAGGGTCCTAAGAAGCAAGATCACCACGCATCTAGAAACCCATCAGTTACACAACCCAGGGCAACATGGGTTTAGAACAGGTCGCTCCTGTCTGTCTCAACTATTGGACCACTACGACAAGGTCCTAAATGCACTAGAAGACAAAAAGAATGCAGATGTAATATATACAGACTTTGCAAAAGCCTTCGACAAGTGTGACCATGGCGTAATAGCGCACAAAATGCGTGCTAAAGGAATAACAGGAAAAGTCGGTCGATGGATCTATAATTTCCTCACTAACAGAACACAGAGAGTAGTCGTCAACAGAGTAAAGTCCGAGGCAGCTACGGTGAAAAGCTCTGTTCCACAAGGCACAGTACTCGCTCCCATCTTGTTCCTCATCCTTATATCCGACATAGACAAGGATGTCAGCCACAGCACCGTGTCTTCCTTTGCAGATGACACCGAATCTGCATGACAGTGTCTTCCATTGCAGACACTGCAAAGCTCCAGGCAGACATCAACCAAATCTTTCAGTGGGCTGCAGAAAAACAATATGAAGTTCAACGATGAGAAATTTCAATTACTCAGATATGGTAAACATGAGGAAATTAAATCTTCATCAGAGTACAAAACAAATTCTGGCCACAAAATAGAGCGAAACACCAACGTCAAAGACCTGGGAGTGATCATGTCGGAGGATCTCACCTTCAAGGACCATAACATTGTATCAATCGCATCTGCTAGAAAAATGACAGGATGGATAATGAGAACCTTCAAAACTAGGGAGGCAAGCCCATGATGACACTCTTCAGGTCACTTGTTCTATCTAGGCTGGAATATTGCTGCACACTAACAGCACCTTTCAAGGCAGGTGAAATTGCCGACCTAGAAAATGTACAGAGAACTTTCACGGCGCGCATAACGGAGATAAAACACCTCAATTATTGGGAGCGCTTGAGGTTCCTAAACCTGTATTCCCTGGAACGCAGGAGGGAGAGATACATGATTATATACACCTGGAAAATCTAGAGGGACTAGTACCGAACTTGCACACGAAAATCACCCACTACGAAAGCAAAAGACTTGGCAGACGATGCACCATCCCCCCAATGAAAAGCAGGGGTGTCACTAGCACGTTAAGAGACCATACAATAAGTGTCAGGGGCCCGAGACTGTTCAACTGCCTCCCAGCACACATAAGGGGGATTACCAACAGACCCCTGGCAGTCTTCAAGCTGGCACTGGACAAGCACCTAAAGTCAGTTCCGGATCAGCCGGGCTGTGGCTCGTATGTTGGTTTGCGTGCAGCCAGCAGCAACAGCCTGGTTGATC